AGACACTGGAATACATTTCTGAGTGAAAGAGTGAGGGCTTTGCATAGACGCCTTGTTGCGTTTTTTATGGTCTTGATACAGCACTTCCTCATGCATGGGTTCATATGTATTCAAGGCATCGTAGTGTTTACCACTCAAACCTGATTGGCTCTGTGTTCAACTATGATGTGTTAGCCCGACATCCAGGCTATCCCACTATGGGATATTACTTTTATAATTCTGTCAGACTGGATCCTTCCACGCCAGAGAGAGTTGTGGAAAGCAATTATTTGTTGGCTTGCTGAAAACGTCACAGCAAGCTAATCGATCAGAGTATGACAGAGATCAATAGGCCTTGTTAGATTATGAATTTATCGTGTGTGGATGTGAGGTCTGCTCAACCCAGCGGCTAGACAACTATGGGGATCAATAAAAAGAGGCAGGCAGCAACAGAAGTAAATACATCTAATAGTAATAGCAGTATGTTGTGATGTGTGGCTGTGCTGGCCTCTAGTGGCAATCCTACATTATTACATAATGTGAGTGTTGTCTGTATTGATATAGCTGATCCAAATTGTAAAAACAGACGTAAAAGGGCTAACATATATTGCAAGTCAAGTCTAGCGTTCTTTATTGTGAGATATGCAAACGACAATACGAACATGTATAATCACTCTCAGAATCACAGGGTTCTGTGTGGCAATGCATGGTCTCTCCACAAACGCTTGTTCCATCGTACACACACTTGTTTCATTCTCATAATATGTGCCTTTAATAATGCAGATTTGACAGATCAGTTAGTGTGAGTGGAGGGATTCTCAGAGCGAGATATTCACATTACATTTAAGTCAGTTTAAGTTCTGTTGGAGACAGGGTTGTTCTTTGTAACAGGGGGGCTGCCAGCCGATCAATGCAGCAGGCTTTCACAAAACCCAAAGGTTACGAAATGTTTCTCAAAACAAAGAAAGGCAACAGTGAAAATCATCAGATTGTCTTTGAGTGGGGAAGGGACATGATTCATATAACACATTGGTATCAGTGCTGTAGTCTTTGGAGACTCCTCTTTCTTCAATAATGCCTAGCAGCCAAAACAGTTAGAATAAAACGCCTAATTTCAATCCTGTAATCTTTGGATACTATATGGCCATGGGGGGGATTGGTCTAAATTATTTTGCTCTGATTTAGATTTCTCTTTCATTTGATCAGTGCTGTAAAGCATGGTTGGGCTCAATTCAGTTTAGAAAATTGCCAATTTGTGTGAATCATCTCTGCCAACAGCCATTCTTGTAAAAGCTTAACTCCACTTCTAGCTAATAAACCTGAATGAAACAACAGAACAATGCTAATCAACAACAAGCTGGGAGGATGCAGGAAGCCTCCCCTCATTCAAACCACTATAAATTAATATAAAGAACACAATCTACTCTCTAACCTTTACACCTAGCTATTAATTACTGCAGTAACTTGGGTCAACAATGACTTCTAATGAGAGAGAGAACAAGAGAGATGGAGTGCAGTGTCAGGTTGGGTGCCATCGCTCATTTCTGCAGCCTTAACACACCTCCAGCCCACCTCTTCACACAGACACACACTTGCTCTCGCACATACACGCCTCTCATTCATCATCCCCTCCCACTGATACACATTAACCCAGTGACCTCCCCCCACTCCAGGCCTCCCCTTGACCACTCATCATCAAAGCCAAGTGTATTTATAAGGCTGCCTGTGTGTGTATATGGATGAGGACCAGGGCCGTTCTGTCCATTAAGCAGAATCTGAGAATCCCAAGGAGAGGGGCTTTATGCATATTAACAAGGCTCTGGTCCTCTGCTGGACTGGCCTATCAGGTCAGGGGGTAAGAGGTCAGAGCTGGAGTGGGATGGAACAGGGATAGATAGGGCTGACAGACGAGCACACACACTGATTGCCCAGGGTGTCTGCAAACAGTCACTCCTTCTATCCGTTTCTAAATAGATTGGGGTCGGGGAGCAGCTTAGTGACAATTCTACAACTGCTCAGAATAACACAAAACTTTCCAAAGAAAGTTACACAATTATTCTGCTTCCTCTCAATATGGAGTTGGGCCGTAAACTGGAGCTATTTTATTCAAGAGCATATAGTACTACATAGCTAGGAAGCTTTTTAGTCTTACCGACACAGCCCCGGGATATGAAACATCTAACTAGAGATGAGAAAAGTCTGTGGCCTAACAAACGTCTCAGGCCCAAAGCATCATGGCATGTCCTCGGACTTACAGCACAGCTCCCTCTTTCTCATGTAGTGTCTGTACCTATCTAGTTGTACTGGTTATCCCTGATCAGCATTGATTGCATAGTCACTGTCCAGAGGAATACTGCTCTGCCACCTGCATGCTAAAACTCTTATTACATTTGCTGCTATTACAATACATATCATATAGGAGTTAGCACATGGCTAGCAGGATGGACTAATCGCCTTGCCCACAAATCCATTACAGCTATCTAAAAGCTTCATCAGATACATAGCATGTTTTCATATTAGTACTTTTATATCAGAAGACATAGAAGTAGCCCCGTGTAGCTCAGTTGGTAGAGCATGGCGCTTGCAACGCCAGGGTTGTGGGTTCGTTTCCCACGGGTGGCCAGTATGAAAAATGTATGCACTCACTAACTGTAAGTCGCTCTGGATAAGAGCGTCTGCTAAATGACTAAAATGTAAGTAAAGAAACTGACACTGTATTTGGATAACTGACCCAAAGCATAAACAAAAAACAAAGAAGTTCCCTGAAAATGTTTGCATAAAGAAATATCATCATGTGCCATGGTTGTGGAGATTAGGAAGGAAACCATGGAGGCTTTCATTGGGATCTACTTTGAATAACACTCTGTGAAGGGACAGCGTGCTGAAACTAAATGGGAGCATTATAGGTGTTAGACTCAAGATAACACAGAGAAGGTAGCTAAGGCAGTGGACTACATTTGGTATGGATCACCTCACATTTTGGTCTTATGACAGGTCACCCATAAGTCCTAGAGTCAGTACTTTCACATTTAAGCAGGATGTCGTCAACGATGTCTCAATCAGCCTCAACAGTTGTCGCATGATGCCAGTTGACTGGAAGTATTAGTTACAAATGGAGTAAATTGCAGAATATCAAAAAGAATGTGCTTTAAATTGTAGTTATTTCTGCTCATTGTTAATCTATGGTCTCTTTCTCAAACATCTGGAGAGGCTGGGCAGGCAGGACAGAGCTTCAGCCTGTTGTCCTCAGAAACTGTTCTGGTTTCAATGCCAGCCTACTCATTCAGAAGCATCTGTGCCCCACCTGAAGTGTCCATCATAATCCAAAACGTGTACGCACAGCAGTGTTCTAGAATAATGGATCGTTGGTTTCATACTTTTACAATTCTCAGCGCTGCTCAAGCATTTTCTCCAACTGTCAACACATTCAAATGAATACCCACGTTGGTTGGGAATTGTGGGGAGGTGAGCTTTCAGGATGTGGGTCCCCACGGACGGTGGTCTCAGCGCTGCATAGCTATGTCACAATGGGACGCCGGACTATCGTGTCTCAGCGTCTGTGGACTATGATTTATGCTTAAGATTCACAATGTCATTGGACTGAATATGAGCAGCAGACAGACAAGGGGAAGAGTCAAGACTGTCTGAATAAATACTGCCCCTAACATATTAGTTCAGTGCATGCAACACTGTTTAGTTCATTTCAACATCTCCCACACATGACATAGGATACCAAATTCTTCAGTATTGGATTATTCTATAATCTCACCATAATCAACAAATAGCTACACTAGCACAGCTCTCATACATTCATTTGTCATGCAGACTAACTCACACAGACAGAAATCAGGTAGAACTGAAAGTAGGCTACCGTGTTACGAAACTGTCAGCTCGAATGCTCTTCAACTGAAATATTCAACTGAAAACCCTATTCATCGGTTCTGAAAGTAAAGTAAGCTTGTTGCTTTGTACTGTACAGTGCTAAGGAAATAACCCATCCCTTTCATAACGTATCGAAAACTGTTAACTTCCACTCACATCAGCCCAGCCATTCAGGAGTAAACATAGTGTATGGGTCAATTTGGACAAAATTGAATAATACTGTATATGGTAGAAATTATTAGATAAAAAATGTCAGAAATTACAACAAAAAATTATATTATATCATGTACCACAGAAAAGTGCTGCAGTTGGAGTTTAGACTCGGAACGTTCTAAAACTCAGTGTGATTCTACTGATGATCTGGAGTGGTACCTTTGGAATTCAAGACTCAAAACAAACATCTCATAGACAAATAGGTGATGGGAAGGTAACTTTGGACAAGATGAAATTGTGGCTCAGCCTTTAACAAGAGAGACCCATGATCAATCAGAAACGGTTTCAATTACACAAATAAATATAGGATATTCAAGCCATTGAGTATGAAGAAAACTAGGGCCCTATTCAATCCAAACTGCTTGCTGGCTTTACGAAACCCATAGGGCACTTGGTACTGTACTTGTGCTTGTGCTTTACAAGGTGGGTGGACATAAAGTAATTATCTTGTTCAGGTTTTGACATCAGCACAGTGTGCAAAATGGGACAGTGTGCAGCTTTGGCCAGTGAGGATTTATCTACTGAAAGTCAAGCCATCTACCCCTATGATAAACATACAACCCATCAGAATCTGTCAACAGCAGCATCCAGCAGTATACATCCCCATAGGAGGACATGGAAGATTGCAAAAGGACAGATTTGTATAATCCAGACTGTTGCTACGTACAGTAAAACTACAGGACACAGTAGGTTAACTCTGGCCCTAGAAGCTGCAGAAAGCAGAGTGGTGATCTGATATGATTATACACATCATGACAGTGACTGACAGACTCGGTCCTCGGCCTGTGCTCTTCAGCAGACGGTGTGTGTTTGTATGTGTGCATGCGTAGTGTATGTGTGTCGTGTGTGTGTGTTCACTGCACGGTCTGGTACAGATAGCCTCTCTTGTAAGCACTCCGGGGGTAGAATGTGGCAACGACAAACTTCCCGTCAAAGGTCCGTCCCGTCAGCAGTCTCTGGGCCTCTTTGGAGTCGCCTGCGTTAGCGTATTCTACAAACACCTGGGGGAAACATGCATGCACACAGATTAAGCCAAGAACAGATGGTAAAAATGCATGTCTCCAATATCTACAACTCTATCAACTACAAAGACTGTATGGAAGTATTAGAAAGACAACAATAAACTGGCAATGGGGCTAGTTGTGTGTCTTACCTGTCCTTTGCCTGGGTTCTCCTTGGGGATGAGCAAAGAGACCACAGAGCCATACTTCTGACACTCCTCCTTCATGTCCTCCAAGATTTCTGACAACACAACAACATCATGCTAGTTAGTCACAATAACAATGTGATCAGTGTAGGAAATTCAAATAGAAAAAAAGGAAATAGGGGGGATATTTTGCCCGTTGACACATTTTCAGGGGCATTTTAGAAAAATATGGGAGCATTTATGTTTTTTTATTTACAATGTAACATCTTACCACTTGTTTTAAAGGTATAGTCAATGACGCATAAAGTGGACTGCAGAAACGTGCAGACTTCCATAACAACTAAGAGCGCGAAGCTCAACTTCTCCTCTGTGTGAGGCTGGGCATTGTCTTGCATTGGGCTCATCTGCAATATCTGCAGTTAATCTTGCTGCTCGTGGCAATGTCAGATCGCTGAGTCTATATATAGTCTAATCATATTGTTTATTTCCCTGATGACTTGTAGTGCAGCACCACGCACCTTGCAATAGGGCTGCACGATTAATCGAAATTGCGATATTGACATATGCAATATCCATATCACAAGAGGCTGCGATTTTCTTTCTTTGGATCTCCGTTAATACAACAAAAACTTACATTTACATTTACATTTTAGTCATTTAGCAGACGCTCTTATCCAGAGCGAGTTACAGAAGCAATTAGGGTTAAGTGCCTTGCTCAAGGGCACATCGACAGATTTTTCACCTAGTCGGCTCGGGGATTAGAACCAGCGACCTTTCGGTTACTGGCACAACGCTCTTACCCACTAAGCTACCTGCCGCCCACTAACTTGACTACGGTACCTCCACCAAAGATATGCGCGCTAGACTACACTCATTCACTCTCTACATGCACAGAGGATGCTGACCAATCACAAGCGGGCTCTCTCACCCTCTGCATGGCATGCAAATGCTGGCCAATCACAAGCATCCCCGCTTAGAGCTCGCAGTTAGATGCTGGTGAGAAGCGAAAGGGCTTTACCAAAGACAGTACAGTATGAGGTTTAGGAACCTCAGTGTGTATCGGAAACATGAGTGATGCTAGTGCTAATGAGAACGTTGATTTGGTGCAAAAGAAGGGCGCCTCTTCAGTGGTATGGCAGTATTTAGGCTACAGGCAAATAGATGTCAACCAAATGCATGTGTTCTGCAAAAAGTGCCTCAGAGTTGTGGCGACAACAAGAGCAACACAACACATTTATTCAATCATTAGAATAATAACCATCTCCTACTTTGACGAATGCATGTAAAAAAAAAAGTTATGTAGTGAGTGTACAGCTTGTATAACCGTGTAAATTTGCTGTCCCCTCAAAATAACACAACACACAGCCATTAATGTCTAAACCGCTGGCAACAAAAGTGAGTACACCCCTAAGTGAAAATGTCCAAATTGGGCCCAAAGTGTCAATATTTTGTGTGGCCACCATAATTTTACAGCACTGCCTTAACCCTCTTGGGCATGGAGTTCACCAGAGCTTCACAGGTTGCCACTGGAGTCCTCTTCCACTCCTCCATGACGACATCACGGAGCTGGTGGGTGTTAGAGACCTTGCACTCCTCCACCTTCCGTTTGAGGATGCCCCACAGATGCTCAATAGCGTTTAGGTCTGGAGACATGCTTGGCCAGTCCAGCTTCTTTAGCAAGGCAGTGGTCGTCTTGGTGGTGTGTTTGGGGTCGTTATCATGTTGGAATACTGCCCTGCGACCCAGTCTCCGAAGGGAGAGGATCATGCTCTGCTTCAGTATGTCACAGTACATTTTGGCATTCATGGTTCCCTCAATGAACTGTAGCTCCCCAGTGCCAGCAGCACTCATGCAGCCCCAGACCATGACACTCCCACCACCATGCTTGACTGTAGGCAAGACACTTGTCTTTGTACTCCTCACCTGGTTGCCGCCACACACGCTTGACACCATCTGAACCAAATAAGTTTATTGGTCTCATCAGACCACAGGACATGGTTCCAGTAATCCATGTCCTTAGTCTGCTTGTCTTCAGAAAACTGTTTGCAGGCTTTCTTGTGCATCATCTTTAGAAGAGGCTTCCTTCTGGGACGACAGCCATGCAGACCAATTTGATGCAATGTGCGGCGTATGGTCTGAGCACTGACAGGCTGACCCCCCACCCTTTCAACCTCTGCAGCAATGCTGGCAGCACTCATACGTCTATTTCTCAAAGACAACCTCTGGATATGACGCTGAGCACATGCACTCAACTTCTTTGGTCGACCATGGCGAGACCTGTTCTGAGTGGAACCTGTCCTGTTAAACCGTGTAAATATTTGTATGAACATAAGATTCAACAAAATGAGACATAAACTGAACAAGTTCCACAGACATGTGCCTAACAGAAATTGAATAATGTGTCCCTGAACAACGGGGGGGGGTCAAAATCAAAAGTAACAGTCAGTATCTGGTGTGGCCACCAGCTGCATTAAGTACTGCAGTGCATCTCCTCCTCATGGACTGCACCAGATTAGCCAGTACTTGCTGTGAGATGGTACCCCACTCTTCCACCAAGGCACCTGCAAGTTCAAAATAAATTTCTGGGGCGAATGGCCCTAGCCTTCACCCTCCGATCCAACATGTCCCAGACGTGCTCAATGGGATTGAGATCCGGCTCTTTGCTGGCCATGGCAGAACACTGACATTCACGCACAGAACGAGCAGTATGGCTGGTGGTATTGTCATGCTGGAGGGTCATGTCAGGATGAGCCTGCAGGAAGGGTAGCACATGAGGGAGGAGGATGTCTTCCCTGTAACGCACAGCGTTGAGATTGCCTGCAATGACAACAAGCTCAGTCCGATGATGCTGTGACACACCGCCCCAGACCATGACGAACCCTCCACCTCCAAATCAATCCCACTACCGAGTACAGGCCTCGGTGTAACGCTCATTCCTACGACGATAAACGCAAATCCGACCATCACCCCTGGTGAGACAAAACCGCGACTATTGCGGACAGTGCTCAGACTGTCCGCAATAGGCTGAGAGAGTCTGGACTAAGAGCTTGTAGGCATGTTTTAAGGCAGGTCCTCACCAGACATCACCTATGAGCACTTTTTGCCAGTTCTGTCTGGTACAGCGACGGTGGGTTTGTGCCCATAGGTGATGTCTGGTGAGGACCTGCCTTATAACAGGCCTACAAGCTCTCAGTACAGACTCTCTCAGCCTATTGCGGACAGTCTGAGCACTGATGGAGAGATTGTATGTTGTTGACATTGCAATTTATTGCCCTGGCCACATCTGCAGTCCTCATGCCTCCTTGCAGCATGCGTAAGGCACGTTCACGCAGATGAGCAGGGACCCTGGGCATCTTTCTTTTGGTGTTTTTCAGAGTCAGTAGAAAGGCCTCTTTGAAGTTCATCCTTACAATGTGATTTTTTTTTCTCAATTTGTCTGTCATAGTTGACTTGTACCTATGATGAAAATTACAGGCCTCTCTCATCTTTTTAAGTGGGAGAACTTGCACAATTGGTGGCTGACTAAATACTTTTTTTCCCCACTGTAGCCTCGATATTGTTATTTTATTGTTACTTAAAAATAAAAATAAATGACTAGTTTCTTTTGTAAACTTTTTCTTAACTCTTATTTCTCTTAACTGAATTAATTTTCTTATACAGTGTTTGGATGGCGACTTGTGAGAGATGGAATCTTGTATCTCCTGTCTAGCTTGTTTATCATCTTCTTGAAGCCGTCTTTGCTGACTGTGTAAATAGGAACCATGTCTTTGGCTATGTGATAGCCTCAGTGATTTCTGTGTCTGTGCGGGATGTTTTTTTTGTAGGGAGTTACACTTGAAAACGTATCTGCAATCAATACCTGTTTAACGTAGGTGGCTGGTTGTGGCTGAGGGACTTCGCTGCTGTCGGGCCCTTTTTATATAAAATCAGCAAAAAAAGAAACGTCCCTTTTTCAGGACCCTGTCTTTCAAAGATAATTTGTAAAATCCAAATAACTTCACAGATCTTCATTGTAAAGGGTTTAAACACTGTTTCCCATGCTTGTTCAATGAACCATAAACAATTAATGAACATGCACCTGTGGAACGGTCGTTAAGACACTAACAGCTTACAGACGGTCGGCAATTAAGGTCACAGTTATGAAAACTTAGGACACTAAAGAGGCCCTTCTGCTGACTCTGAAAAACACCAAAAGAAACATGCCCAGGGTCCCTGCTCATCTGCGTGAACATGCCTTAGGCATGCTGCAAGGAAGCATGAAGACTGCAGATATGGCCAGGGCAATAAATTGCAGTGTCCGTACTGTGAGACACCTAAGACAGTGCTACAGGGAGACAGGACGGACAGCTGATCATCCTTGCGGTGGCAGACCACGTGTAACAACACCTATACAGGATCAGTACATCCGAACATCACACCTGCGGGACAGGTACAGGATGGCAATAACAACTGCCCGAGTTACACCAGGAATGCACAATCTCTCCATCAGTGCTCAGACTGTCCGCAATAGGCTGAGAGAGGCTGGACTGAGGGCTTGTAGGCCCTCAGTCCAGCCTCAGCAAAGCTGTCATCAAGGCAAAGGGTGGCTTCTGTGACACTTTTTTTGGTTACTACATGATTCCATTTGTGTTATTTCATAGCTTTGATGTCTTCACTATTATTCTACAATGTAGAAAATAGTAAAAATAAAGAAAAACCCTTGAATGAGTAGGTGTGTCCAAACTTTTGACTGGTACTGTAGGTGTAATAATCCTATCTATTAACATATGTAGCCTATTACAATGTTGGAAAAGATTTGTTTAATTTGGTTTTGTATTCAGTTAGCACAGTATCTATTCATTCATATGATCTCATTTTAGAAATGATGTTCTCTACCCTGACACTTGTTTTAACGATGTCTGATGGAATTACCAAGTTTTCACCTAAGTGTTTGAAAATCACAATTCACAACTGCAATATCTGGCCCCCAAAACATTAGCAATTTGATATTTTGTCCAAATCATGTAGCCCTACCTTGCAATATCAATATCATCCCAAAACGTTTTGCCTTTGTCACTGTCATTTTAGGGGCATATTTTGGAAATCTAGGGGCAAAATACCCTAAAGCCCCAGTGTACTTCCGACGCTGATAGTGATAATGAGCAACTGTAGGAGCTATTTAGCGTCAGTGGAGAAAGCTGGTTAGAAAACGCTGTGCCCTACCTTCATACTCCTCCTCATTGTGCAGGTGGCTGTCATCGATCAGGTTGAGCAGGCGCAGAACAGGAGAGGGAAGCAGAACCAAGTCTTCTATATGAGGAGCTGTCACACACACAATATTTTCTCAGTCAATAGGTTTAAGAGGCCTTTTACAGGGTTTATACAGCTCCACCAACCCCACTCTACTATGCTTATAATCTTTGTTGATTTCAATGAAAATTCAATATGAACATTTCATAAAGAGGTAGATGTTTACAAGCAGAGAGGGAAAGAGGGGTTTGGTGGGAGGGCGAGAGTGGAGAGAGAGCTGGTAAGATTATGCTGTATTACAAGCTATCAAGCTGTCTGAGAGGGAGGTATGTGCCCATTTCGGCTGTGACTAACCAAAAGGAATGCTGAAGAAGGGGCTAAGCAGGGCCGTCTCGGCTGTGCCTCTGTGCTTGGGGTTGTTGTGAAGCATGCTGCAGGAGCATACAAACATTACATATTACAATTAAATGTCAACATTAGGTACCCCTCTCGCAGGATAATCATATGCATTTCAATACGTTTCCAATGTTGAAAATGACAACTTATATTTAAGGGAGTGCAGAGTCAATTTGTTACAATGGATAAAATGTCTGCATTTACCTAAAAACAACAAAAACAAAATGCATATGGTCCTGAATGAATGAATGTTGTTACCTTTTGATAAGGTCTCTGAGGTGATAGACAGGGATGGCAGGAACCACCACACTGTTATTGGCAAAGATATGGTCGACTATTGCTGCACTGTTGTCCTGCAGGAGCAAAGAACAATAGGCTACAGAACAGTAGTTTGGACAACACACCCATGTCTGTCTGATAAATGTGTATTATCTATCGATCCATCTTTCTGAAGAACATATACAACTATTAGCTACAGGTAGAACAGAGTCCACTGCATTCCTAGGAAAACAAGTACCCATGTCTCTATTAGCTACAGTCCAATGTAAGACAGTCCACTGTATGTCTGGCTATGTAATCACAGCAGGTGGCTGTATATAGGACCTTTAAGCAGCTTAACATTCACAAGGCCACGGGGCAAGATGGATTACCAGGACGCAACACCCTAGTGCCCTCCAAGCTCATCACTAAGCTCAGGACCCTGGGACTGAACACCTCCCTCTGCAACTGGATCCTGGACTTCCTGACGGCCGACCCCAGGTGGTAGGGTAGGCAACAACACCTCCATCACGCTGACCCTCAACACGAGGGCCCCTCAGGGGTGCGTTCTTAGTCCCCTCCCGTACTCCCTATTCACCCATCCACGGGGCTGTAGTGGAGCGAGTCGAAAGCTTCAAGTTTCTCAGTATCCACATCACTAAGGAGATAACATGGTCCACACACACCAACACAATCGTGAAGAAGGCACAACAACGCCTCTTCCCCCTAAGGAGGCTGAAAAGATGTGGCATGGGCCCTAAGATTTGATTAGCTGTTCAGGAGTCTTATGGCTTGGGGGTAGAAGCTGTTAAGAAGCCTTTTGGACCTAGACTTGGCACTCCGGTACAGCTTGCAAGGCGGAAGCAGAGAGAACAGTCTATGACTAGGGTGGCTGGAGTCTTTGACAATTTTTAGGGCCTTCCTCTGACACTGTCTGGTATAGAGGTCCTGGATGGCAGGAAGCTTGGCCCCAGTGATGTACTGGACCATACGCACTACCCTCCGTAGTGTCTTGCGGTCGGAGTCCGAGCAGTTGCCATACCAGGTGGTGATGCAACCAGTCAGGATGCTCTCGATAGTGCAGCTGTAGAACTTTTTGAGGATCTGAGGACCCATGCCAAATCTTTTCAGTCTCCTGAGGGGGAATAGGCTTTGTTGTGCCCTCTTCACGACTGCCTTGGTGTGTTTGGACCATGATAATTTGTTGGTGATGTGGACCTTGAAGCTCTCGACCTGCTCCACTACAGCCCCGTCGAAGAGAATGGGGGCGGGCTTGGTCCTCTTCTTTTTCCTGTAGTCCACAATCATCTCCTTTGTCTTGATCACGTTGAGGGAGAGGTTGTTATCCTGGCACCAAACGGCCAGGTCTCTGACCTCCTCCCTATAGGCTGTCTCACTGTTGTTGTCTCGTCAGCAAACTTAATGATGGTGTTGGAGTCGTGCCTGGAAATGCAGTCATGGGTGAAAAGGGAGTACAGAAGGGGAGTGAGCATGCACACCTGAGGGGCCCCAGTGTTGAGGATCAGCGTGGCAGATGTGTTGTTACCTACCCTTACCACCTGGGGGCGACCCGTCAGGAAGTCCAGGATCCAGTTGCAGAGGGAGGTGTTTAGTCCCAGGGTCCTTTGCTTAGTGATGAGCTTTGAGGGCACTATGGTGTTGAACGCTGAGCTGTAGTCAATGAATAGCATTCTCACGTACAGTTGAAGTCGGAAGTTTACATACACTTAGGTTGGAGTCATTAAAACTCATTTTTCAACCACTCCACAAATTTCTTGTTAACAAACTATCGTTTTGTGCATGACACAAGTAATTTTTCCAACAATTGTTTACAGACAGATTATTTCACTTATAATTCACTGTATCACAATTCCAGTGGGTCAGAAGTTTACATACACTAAGCTGTGCCTTCAAACAGCTTGGAAAAGTCCAGAAAATGATGTAATGACTTTAGAAGCTTCTGATAAGCTAATTGACATAATTTGAGTCAATTGGAGGTGTAGCTGTGGATGTATTTAAAGGCTTACCTTCAAACTCAGTGCCTCTTTGCTTGACATCATGGGAAAATCAAAAGAAATCAGCCAAGACCTCAGAAAAAAAATGTGTAGACCTCCACAAGTCTGGTTCATCCTTGGGAGCAATTTCCAAACACCTGAAGGTACCACGTTCATTCGTACAAACAATAGTACGCAAGTATAAACACCATGGGACCATGCAGCCGTCATACCGCTCAGTAAGGAGACGCATTCTGTCTCCTAGAGATTATTGTACTTTGGTGCGAAAAGTGCAAATCAATCCCAGAACAACAGCAAAGGACCTTGTGAAGATGCTGGAGGAAACAAGTACAAAAGTATCTATATCCACAGTAAAACGAGTCCTATATCGACATAACCTGAAAGGCCGCTCAGCAAAAAAGAAGCCACTGCTCCAAAACCTCCATAAAAAAGCCAGACTACAGTTTGCAACTGCACATGGGGACAAAGATCGTACTTTTTGGAGAAATGTCCTCTGTTCTGATGAAACCAAAATAGAACTGTTTGGCCATAATGACCATCTTTATGTTTGGAGGGAAAAGGAGGTAGCTTGCAAGCCGAAGAACACCATCCCAACCGTGAATCACGGGGGTGGCAGCATCATGCTGTGGGGGTGCTTTGCTGCAGGAGGGACTGGTGCACTTCACAAAATAGATGGCATAATGAAGAAGAACAATTATGTGGATATATTGAAGCAACATCAAGACATCAGTCAGGAAGTTAAAGCTTGGTGGGAAATGGGTCTTCCAAATGGACAATGACCCCAAGCATACTTCCAAAGTTGGCTTTCCAAAAATGGCTTAAGGACAACAAAGTCAAGGTATTGGAGTGGCCTTCACAAAGCCCTGACCTCAATCCTATAGAAAATGTGTGGGCAGAAATGAAAAAAAACGTGTGCGAGCAAGGAGGCCAACAAACCTGACTCAGTTACACCAGCTCTGTCAGGAGGGATGGGCCAAAATTCACCCAACTTATTGTGGGAAGCTTGTGGAAGGCTACCCGAAACATTTGACACAAGTGAAACAATTTTAAGGCAATGCTACCAAATACTAATTGAGTGTATGTAAACTTCTGACCCACCGGGAATGTGATGAAAGAATTCAAAGCTGAAATAAATAATTCTCTCTACTATTATTCTGACATTTCACATTCTTAAAATAAAGTGGTGATCCTAACTGACCTAAGACAGGGAATTTTTACTAGGATTAAATGTCAGGAATTGTGAAAAACTGAGTTTAAATGTATTTGGCTAAGGTGTATGTAAACTACCGACTTCAACTGTAGGTGTTCCTTTTGTCCAGGTGGGAAAGGACAGTGTGGAGTGCAACAGCGATTGCATCATCTGTGGATCTGTTGGGGCGGTATGCAAATTGGAGTGGGTCTAGGGTTTCTGGGATAATGGTGTTGATGTGAGCCATGACCAGCCTTTCAAAGCACTTCATGGCTACAGACGTGAGAGTTACGGGTCTGTAGTCATTTAGGCAAGTTACCTTAGTGTTCTTGGGCACAGGGACTATGGCGGTCTGCTTGAAACATGTTGGTATTACAGTCAGGGACAGGTTAAAATGTCAGTGAAGACACTTGCCAGTTGGTCAGCGCATGCTCGGAGTACACGTCCTGGTAATCCGTCTGGCCCTGCGGCCTTGTGAATGTTGACCTGTTTAAAGGTCTTACTCACATCGGCTACGGAGCGCGTGATCACACAGTCGTCCGGAACAGCTAATGCTCTCATGCATGCTTCAGTGTTGCTTGCCTCGAAGCGAGCATAGAAGTAATTTAGCTCGTCTGGTAGGCTTGTGTCACTGGGCAGCTCGCGGCTGTGCTTCCCTTTGTAGTCTGTAATAGTTTGCAAGCCCTGCCACATCCGACGAGCATCGGAGTCGGTGTAGTACGATTCAATCTCAGTCCTGAATTGACGCTTTGTCTGTTTGATGGTTTGTCAGAGGGCATAGCGGGATATCTTATAAGCGTCCGTCCCCCTCCTTGAAACCGGCTGCTCTACCCTTTAGTTCAGCGCGGATGTTTCCTGTAATCCATGGCTTCTGGTTGGGGCATGTACGTACGGTCACTGTGGGGACGACGTCGTTGATGCACTTATTGATGAAGCCAGTGACTGATGTGGTGTACTCCTCAATGCCATCGGAAGAATCCCGGAACATATTTCAGTCTGTGCTAGCAAAGCAGTCCTGTAGCTTAGCATCTGCGTCATCTGACCACTTCTTTATTTACCGAGTCATTGGTGCTTCCTGCTTTAGTTTTTGCTTGTAAGCAGGAATCAGGAGGATAGAGTTATGGTCAGATTTGCCAAATGGAGGGCGAGGGAGAGCTTTGTACGCGTCTCTGTGTGTGGAGTAAAGGTGGTCTAGAATGTATTTTTCCTCTGATTGCACATTTAACATGCTGGTATTAATTAGGTCAAACTGATTTAAGCTTCCCTACATTAAAGTTCCCGGACACTAGGAGCGACACCTCTGGTTGAGCGTTTTCCTTTTTGCTTATGGCCTTATACAGCTCATTGAGTGCGGTCTTAGTGTCAGCATCGGTTTGTGGTGGTAAATAGACAGCTATGAAAAATATAGATGAAAACTATCTTGGTAAATAGTGTGGTCTACAGCTTATCATGAGATACTCTACCTCAGGCGAGCAAAACCTTGAGGACTTCCTTAATATTAGATTTTGTGCACCAGCTGTTGTTTACAAATATACACAGTCCGCCACCCCTTGTCTTACCGGAGGCAGCTGTTCTATCTTGCCGATGCAGCGTATATCCCGCCAGCTGTATGTTATCCATGTCGTCGTTCAGCCACGACTCGGTGAAACATCAGATATGACCGTTTTTAATGTCCCGTTGGTAGGATATCCGTGATCTTAGTTCGTCTATTTTGTTATCCAATGATTGTACGTTGGCTTATAGGACTGATTGTAGAGGCAGATTACGCACTCGCCGTCGGATCCTTACAAGGCACCCCGACCTACATCCCCGATATCTCTGTCTATTTCTCATGCGAATGACTGGGATTTGGGCCTTTGTCCAGTACGAGGTGAGTAATCGCTGTCCTGATAGCCAGAAGCTCTTTTCGGTCATAAGAGACAGTGGCAGAAACATTATGTACAAAATAAGTTACAAATAACCCGAAAAAACACACACAATAGCACAATTGGTTAGGAGCCCGTAAAACAGCAGCCATCTCCTTCGGCGCCTTTGACGCTTTTGCACTAATACTTTTGACTCATCACATACGCTGCTGCAACTGTTTATTATCTATCCTGTTGCCTAGTCACTTTACCCCTACATATATATACATATCTACCTCAATTACCTCGTACCCCTGCACATCGACTCGGTACTGGTACCCTGTGTATATAGCCAAGTTACCATTACTCATTGTGTATTTATTCCTCATGTTCTTATTATTTATTTTTTTCATTGTTGGGAAGGGCCTGTTGATTTGATTATATGTCAATAATGTGGTAAAGAACAGTCATTTAAACAGGTGTGTTAGTGCTGTGGTGGAACAAAATCCTGCACACTCCGTATAGTTGTAATCCAGGCCCGGAGTTGGAGGCCCATGCTGTGGACGTACCTTCCACTCGGGTGACCTGACGGTGTCTTTGAGTTTGATGCCTGAGTACATCTCCAGCAGGACAATGCCCAAGCTCCAGAGGTCCACAGCGGCCGAGCAGCCAGAGTCCCCCTCCACCTCCATCCCCGCCTGGGCCAGGGAGTTTTGACGCTCAGCCTCCGGGGCACGGTACCCATCTGTCTGGATGTATTTCACGTCCTGGGAACACAGAGAATGGAGGCAAAATGTTTCACACAGAGAAGATTGTATATTTTGTCCATTCTAGCATGACCATCTAGTCAGGGACTACTCTCCCTTGCCAAAGGACTACAGCAGACTCCAACATCTGTCCTCCACCAGTTTTTTTTGTCTTTTTTTATTTGTCATTTAGCAGACGCTCTTATCCAAAGCGACTTACAGGAGCAATTAGGGTTACGTGCCTTGCTCAAGGGCACATCAACAGATTTTTCACCAAGTCGGCTCAGGGATTTGAACCAGCAACCTTTTGGCTACTGACCCAACCTCTAAGCTACCTGGCCCCCTACCAGAGGTGTACTCATTAGTCCAAAACGTTTTGCAACGGAAAATGTTTACTCCAAACGGAAAACGTTTTGCAACGAAAACAAGAGTTTCTATTGGACAAATTCAGGTAGGTCCCTCCCTGTTTCGTTCCGTTTGCTTTTGTTTGGTTCTCAGTGAATACACCCCTGGTTCCCCTCACCAGAGGCCTACAGTCAGAGTCAAACCCCTATCCTTCAGTCCAATTCACCTGGTTGCCCTCTTTGAAGCTGAGGCCAAAGTCGATGAGTTTGAAGCACTCATCGTCCGCGCTCCAGAGCACATTGCGGGGCTTGAGGTCAGCATGTACGTAGCCCTCTCTGTGGAGGAAGGCAAGGGCCTCCAGGACGTCCCTGGCACAGTGCTGCACCAGCCACATGGAGTGGCCCTGCTTTTGGGCACCACCACACTGGGGGCTGCAGGCCCGGTTCTGGGTACTGGTCCTCACAAGCAGCTCAGACACACTGACGTCCAGCAGCTCAAGCAGCAGGCAGCGCGTGGCCACACCCACATGGCTGTGGTTGGTGAATACCCCGTACAGCGTTACTGTGGAGACAGCCAGGAGTGGTTAGGGTTACAGTCAGCACAGATTTGATTGGGGAGGGAAGGAGTTTACTAGGGGCTCTGTTTGAATACTCATAAAATGCATCCTTCTGTCATCCCTTCCTTTGGTAATCACTGATGGGATCTTTAAAGGAAAGTTATCACCCAGTTATCAAAGGTTATAAAACAGGGAGTGTTATGAAAACATGGAGGTGTATTATCTGAATATTCATGTATTATGAATGTAAAGTAAGTCTATATGGTGATATTGAGGAAGTAGAATTGATGTCATAATCAAAACCATATCCATTTAAAGCACAGTCCTTCGAAAATGTGGGGGCAAAGTAAACTCTCCAATATCTTATCTTCCTTTGAATTCGAAATTTTGGCTTATGTAGTACGACATCCGAGCACTTTTGGCATACTAAATATGTCCATACTATGACCAATAAGCATTATACATACTCAATTTACATCACAATAGTACAGTTAGTATGAGTATTTGAACATAGCTCACGTTTTAATTGGAATATGCTTACTAAGATTTTGACAATACGCCGAATAAGATAAGCAGAGTAAGGTATTTACATGACTATTGCCATATACTCGGCCTACTGCCATAATCAGTTTAATATCAAATTATTAGTGTGTGATATGACAGATCAGAGACAAGACTGAGATGTGTGACTTGGTTGTAATGACAGATTTGCAATCAGCCTGACAAGAACACAGACCCAAAGTAGCCAAGGTTAAATGAGGCTACACCCATGGCAATAAGACTCATTATTTGATTCTCACATAGCCTAGTCATGGGAGGCACACTAGTAAACGAGCACTGTAATTACAGAGATTGTGCACAGTGCAACCATATTGCAATACAATGAACATTTCCTTACCGATGTTTTTGTGTCCTTGGATGTCTTCCAGCACGGACCTCTCCTTTTGGTAACCGTAATCTCCACTCTGAGTGTCCGCCTGGAACTCCTTTACCGCGGCCGTGCTCGCCCTCCCAGAGCTCACCCGGTATACTGAGGCCGAGACGCCTTGCCCGAGCCGGGCCTGGACGTTCCAAAACTCTCCAAATATTTCAAACAACACCGGCTTCATGGCCTGATCAACGCTTCCGGGAGATCCTGCCATCAACACTGAGCTGCTATCTGGACGGGGTACCTTCCCACTTGGATCTGAACTGCAGTGAGCCATTGAGATTAGTGAACCAAGCTAGCTAGCTAGACAGCTGTACGCAGCTGCGAGAACATGGCAATCAACCAGCGAGACACCTCGATAAAAAGACTGAACGCATCTACACAAGCCAGCACTGCGACGTGTCTACTCTCCATTTCTCGATCATGGAACTCAATAAATCAGTTGCGGGTTTCAACTGTAGCAGCCGATAGCAATACTTATGTTCCTAGCTATGTTGACATGTTATCCACTTCGCATTTGCTAGCTAACGTTAGGCTAATTCTGCTGAATGGGAAAAGTTGGCTACCTTCGGTGGCTAGTTAGATAAGTTAGTTGACTCCGACTCAAACATCAGCTTTAACAACATGCATGCAAAAGTTAACAAAATAAACGACCTAATTACACGCACTAAATCCAAACACTTTCGTTAAGCCAAGTAGTTTGCAAAGGCGAAAAGTTTATTCTTGATTTGGAGGACAGAGACTTTTGTCATTGTTTAGCTGGCCATCTTCCCGGAAGCAGCAGTCGTAAATTAATCTTCTTCTTCAGTGGGGTTTATCGGCGGTTGGCATCCAACGTTATGGTGCATTACCGCCACCTATTGTACTGGAGTGTGGGCCAGAGACAGGGAGAAACAAAATCAAATCAAATCAAATGTTATTTGCCACATGCGCCGAATACAACAGGTGTAGACATTACAGTGAAATGCTTACTTACAAGCCCTTAACCAACAATGCAGTTTTTAAGAAAAAAAGAAAAAGAAAAAAAAAAGTGTTAAGTAAAATAATATAATAATAATATGCCATTTAGCAGACGCTTTTATCCAAAGCGACTTGTCATGCGTGCATACATATTTTTTTTGTGTGTGTATGGGTGGTCCCGGGGATCGAACCCACTACCATGGCGTTACAAGCGCCGTGCTCTACCAGCTGAGCTACAGAGGACCACAAAAAAATAGTTAAGTAAAAAATTAAAAATAGCAAATAACTAAAGAGCAGCAGTAAAATAAAATAACAGTAGGGAGGCTATATACAGGGGATATCGGTACAAGAGTCAATGTGCGGGGTTCAGGGGTTAGTCGAGGTAATTGAGGTAATATGTACATGTGGGTAGAGTTAAAGTGACTATGCATAAATAATAAACAGAGTAGCAGCAGCCTAAAAGAGGGAGATGGGGTGGGGGGCAATGCAAATAGTCAAGGTTGCCATGATTAGCTGTTCAGGAGTCTCATGGCTTGGGGGTAGAAGCTGTTAAGAAGCCTTTTGGACCTAGACTTGGCGCTCCGGTACCGCTATCTGCCAGCCCCGCTGCTCTTAAAAAAGATTACAAAATATTTGAGACTATATCCAATGACGTTCTACTCAATATACTCTTTAAACTAATTTCCTGTATCCCCTTCTCCCTCATACTAGATCTCATCCTCTCTCGTTCCCTCTGATACTGCCCACACTGTAGCAATACATGCTCCACGATCTCTGTTTCCTGACAATAATCTAACTTTCCTGTTGGATGCTTTCCTATCACATTTAATGTTTTATTCAACTGGCTGTGTCCCACCCTTCATCTTGTAAAAATAGCCTCCTCTCTTCTGTCGTCGTAAATTCAAACGTCACGCTTCTCTATTTCTACTTCCTCTCGTACCTGATTGGCTAGGTAGTTGTCATTTCCCCCTACAGATCTAGGATCAGTCTACAGTTCAATAATGATAAAGAATTATGCCGAGGGTCAACAAAAAAACTGACGGTAGATCAGTTCTTATTGGATGGTCTCAACTATTTTACTATCATAGTTGTCTGAGATGGTTAACGCGACTTTATGATTAACTTGATCTTACTCAGTTTTGCTCATTCTTTCTTCAATACAGTAACGGTAAATGTATAATGCACAAAAATATGTAATACGGCAAAAATGTGTCTCTGAGCTGCAGGGCGTTCCCATTCGACAGGAGTGCCACGTCAAAGTGACGGATGTAGCTAGGTGTACTCGAGGGGGGGTACCGTAGTCAATACAAGAGTCACCGGTTAAACGCTGTCCGACCAAATTGATTCCTAGACACAGCGTTGAAGGTAAGCCTTTATTAACTTCAACTGCTACTCACTTCGTTACATTTTTATCTAATAGTCTAGTTAGACCATTTTGTTTTTCAACCAGGGTTGTAGAATAGCTACGAGGTTTCAATTCTTGTCGCGCACCCAATTGGTAGCGTGCTGTTGTGTAGGACCACAAATGGGATGATGATGATAGTCATTATGTGTAGGTAGGTAATATCTGATTTGGTTAGCTAACATAACCGCAGCTTTATGGATAGAGATGATAGTGTAAGATGTGTAGTATTACGTTAGCTAGCTACTGTAGTAATAGCCTGCTTGTACATAGTTTTGGTGCATCAATGGGGGACTTATTTATCCATTGTATGTTAGAACATTTCCCATGTCGTGGTTTGTCTGAAAGCTGGGGAAATGTTCTGTGAAGTTTAGTGTCAATTACATAACTTAATATTTGTGTCCCGAGTATTTGGTTTTGCCCTGCTTATTGCAGTAGACTAGGCTTCAAGCTAAAGCAATGTTACGCCACTATTGGTGTGCCAAGTTGACAGCTCAGCTCATCTGCTGATGTAAATCAAAGGTGAAATGGTCAAATGGGCATGTAGTCTAGTACAACAAGTCCCCGACTGGAATGTCCTCATAGATGTCTGCTAAATGGCATATTATTATTATATTATTAAGTCACCTAGCTTTGCTTGACGAAACATGGCAGGCACACCCATGTCATTATAGTCCCAAAAAGATCATTGATGTAGGTGTGTCTGTTCACCATATTTATGACAAATTCAGATTGTGAAACGTCTTCTCTTTTTAGTCATTAAGCTAGTGTTGAACCAGCATCTGTTTTCTTTTTAGGGCTAGTGTATTCCAATGATGCTGCACCAGTGCTTCCTAATTCCTAATACCTATCTGATGTGATCCTGACACTCAAAATCATTTTCCATTGTATTGGGTGTGGTAGTTTTCAGAGGAGATTTGAGTAATGTGATCATCGTGACTGTGTAGGCTAGGTAAATATCCCTGACACTTACAACACGTTCCTGTTCTCTTCTTTTCTGGGTGTGGTAGGTCGATTCCCTAGAGGAGATTCTTCAAGCTTAGCCAAGCAGTGTGATCATCGTCATGGAGAGCACCAGAAGCAGACTGACCCAGAGGTTGGCTGAAGCCGGCCAGTCTCACCTCCTGCAGTTCTGGGACGAGCTGACCCCTGAGCAGCAGGCCAAGATGACCTCTGACCTGGAAGCTATGGACTTCCAGGAGATCAACAGGTTCTTCCGCAGTGCCATGGAGGTGTCGGGCAGCAGCAAGCAGGAGAAGATGGACGCCCGCATGGAGCCAGTGCCCAGGGAGGTGTTGGGTAGTGTGACCAGGGACAGAGACCGCCTCAAGGACTGGGAGGAGGAGGGTGAGTCGTCTGGTACAGGGGTTCCCAAATGGTGGATTGGTTGGGACCAGACCAGAGTCAAATCCATATGTCAAATACTTTTAAAGTATTTTAGGTGTGCTTGATTTAGCTTGGAGTTTACGGTTTTGGTAAAGTCGGGCACAATGATGCATGCATTTCAGTCACAATAGTGCATCTCTGCCACAAAGCCTAAAGCAGGTTCTATTGATCAATTTAAAATGGGGGCTAATTTAATTCAACTGATTGAATTCCACTGGTTTTCAACATCATTGATTATTTTACATGCGACCAGGAAGTGAAACGGGCAGATAGGGAAATCTCATCAGGCTTTATGGTGTGCAGTATAATGTTATATAGTAGGTGTCTTCTGCCTAGTGTTACATTCTAGACTAGTCGTGCAGTGTGTGTGCATGCGTGCAGTGCGTGTGTTTGTGTGTGTGTCTGTTGTCTCAGTTGCGCGAGGGCATAAACTGAGGTCAAACATTATGGCCTTTTCTCAACTGGATTTGCTCAACTGCTGCGTCCTTGCTCCTTCGTCTTCTCTCGCCTCCTTTTGAAAAAGGTAATGGGTAATCGAGGAGAGGCGGCATGGAGAGAGAACGTGGACCAAAATGTGTTTGTATGAAATTAGACTCGTTTTCCAATTGCGCGTCATCAGGCAAATTATGTTTACAGGGGTGCATCCCAAAATAAATGTAATTTATAAATAACAAATGAAGTTAGTTGTGCAAGACATTTTATAGATAAAACGCTAAGTAATATATTGTGTGCATGCTTTTCTCCTCCAACAAAACAAAAGCTGTTTCAAAGGGGGTGTGGCAGATTTCAAAACTCTTCCGCGAAGGGCTCCGGTAGGATACACATAACTATCCTCGATGAAACGTGGATATTGAAGAGGGGAGGACACTCTTCACTTAGCCTACTAACGAAGTGATATCTCATTGACCACTTATCAGTTTCCGGGTCACGGAGGAGATAGGGTGGAGGACAGACTTTTGCCCAAATGAGTAAAGGCCTATGCAATACAATTTCCTCCAACCAAGCAGGGCTACTGAAACTAACCTGTCCAACATGTCCCTGGTAACCCCCTTCAAACAGCACAGTGACAGGCAGCAGCAAGGATAATTTACTGTGATCAGGTAATGGCAACTCTGAGGGGGTTAAACAAGACCTGGCAACACTTACATGACTTGGCAACCTTAAGGGTTAGGGGGTAAACCATGATGTCTTGTGATGTTGAAATAGCTAAATGGGGTACCTGGCTTGTATTTTGCAAATCAATGTCAGTGAGTTAGCCATCTAATGACAAACACTCAGATATAGCCTTATAACTCTTAACACTCTGATTCATAAAGAAAGCAGAATGTGGGTTTATTGAGAACATGAAGTCAGTCACACTGTTACCATTCCCAGTTTCTCTTTCTTCATTATCAAAGAAATATGGAGTTGTTTGAGAAGGTTAACTTCTCAAACAACAAGGGGATAGTCTATTTGTCAAATGGACTAGCCCCTTGGAGTAAAAGCTCAATGTTTAGCAGTCCTGAGCTGCAGCTGAGGAGGTCCAGCCTGAGGGATGAAGGAGGAGAGGAGGGGAGAAGCAAGGGATATCTGTTTCTGGCTTTGGCCTGACATAAATGGGGTACTGCTCACTGCACCCTCACTCATGAGGTCATCCTGCTCTGCGTCAGTTCTTAATCATGTGTGGTGTGTCAGAGCAGCCAACATCTACAGCAGCAAACTAAGGACACATAAACCCAGGGTGTATGTGTGTCAGGATAGCCAAAGCCTACAATGGCACCTCCCGCTCCCAGTCCATTCTCAATGGCTCAGGAATGTGAGTGCACATGTGTGTGTATTTGTGGACTAATCACAGACTCGTATAGCAACAGTTTATGTAAGTTAAGGTAGAGCTGTATAATAAGGATGTTGTTGACCTGGTACACTATATATACAAAAGTATGTGGACACCCCATCAAATTAGTGGATTCGGCTATATCAGCCACACCCGTTGCTGACCGGTGTATAAAATCGAGCACACCGCCATGCAATCTCCATAGACAAACATTAGCAGTAGAATGGCCTTACTGAAGAGCTCAGTGACTTTCAACGTGGCACCGTCATAGAATGCCACCTTTCCAACAAGTCAGTTTGTCAAATTTCTGCCCTGCTCGAGCTGCCCCGGTCAACAGTAAGTGCTGTTGTTGTGAAGTGGAAACGTCTAGGACAGGGGTGTCAAACTCATTTTAGCTCAGGGGCCACATGGAGGAAAATCTATTCCCAAGTGGGCCGGACCGGAAAAATCATGGTATATATAACTTAAAAACAACAACTTCAGATTGTTTTCTTTGTTTTAATACGATCAACATACAACATAAAGCTGGAGCCTGAGGACAGTGTGTCCAAAATAGTACAAGCACAACATCACTATTAATCATAAAACACGTCAAGTTTATTTGAAAATTCTAAAGAAAAAGAACACAAACACACAATGCCTCAGTGATTAACAGAACTGTTTCACAGATCACAGAACTATATCAGGGGGTCATTTCTCAGGCAGAAATGTAGATAAAAAGAATGAAATCCTGTTCCCCAAACAAGTGCAAGAACCACAGAGTCAAGAATAGGTTAAATATACAAATAAAATAAAATCAATTAAAAACAATAGCACATCAACATAAAAACATATAAACATAAAGCTGGAGCCTGAGGACAGTGTGTCCAAAAGCACAACATCACTATTAATCATAAAACACCTCAAGTTATTTGAAAGTTCTGAGGACAAAGAACACACAAACACACAATGCCTCAGTGATTCACAGAAGTATATCACAGATCACAGAACTATATCAGGGTGTCTCATGTAGCACTTTAAGTGGGGTTGCATAGTTTATTTGACTCCTGATACCTGGCATCTTTTAGCTTTCACCAGCGCATCAATATCAGGCGTCACATCCTGAGTGGCAGCCAACTTCAGGATGTGATTCAAGTGCTTGTGCGTGAGCCTTGAGCGCAGCTTTGTTTTATTTATGCTCATGACAGAGAGAACTTGCTCACAAAGATATGTGGTTCCAAACATGCACAACAGTTTTGCAGCGAGGGCTGTCAAGTTGGGGTAACCTGGCAAGATATTCTGATTAAATGTGTCCAAGCCAGCTGCGGCAAATTTGCCCTTCAAATCCGAGTCACACTGCAAGTCTATTATTTCAAGTTGGATGCTGACGGGCAGATCAGAGGGATTCACGGTGAATGGCGAGCAAAAAACGTTGAAGTCTTTCTCCAGTTCACCAAAAATCTGAAAGCGTTGCTCAAACTCCCGTAACAGTCCCGTTATTTTATCTTTGAACCGCTTCATGTCTGCCACATGTTGGGTCGCGCACACATTTTTCAGACAGGGGAAGTGAGCTGCATCACCACCGGCGAGTTGCGTCTCCCACAATGACAGCTTCAACTTGAAAGAACGTATGCTGTCATAATACTGCGTGACAACTTTGTTGCGCCCTTGCAGCTGTTTGTTCAAGTTATTCAGGTGCTCTGTAACATCCACCATAAATGCAAGGTCCTGCATCCATTCTGCGGAATGGAATTCTAACACTGTTCAATTTCTTCTCGTAAATCAAAGAAACGCCTCAGCACCTCGGCTTAACCATCTTACCTCAGTGTGGTATGGCAGGCCATAGATGTGGTCTTTCTCTCTGAGAAGGCTGTCAAACTGACGGTGATTCAGGCTTCTGGATCGGATGAAATTAACAGTTTGGATGACCACCTTCATGACGTTATCCATCTTTAATGACTTGCAACACAAAGCCTCCTGGTGCAAAATACAGTGAAAAGTCAAAAAATCACGTCCTCCATTTGCAGATTGCACTTTCTCTCTGAACTTTGTCACAACGCCTGCTTTTTTCCCGATCATTGAGGGCGCACCATCTGTAGCCAGGCTGACAGCGCGGGACCAGTCCACTCCGACCCTGTCCAGCGCGCCGACGAGTGCGGTAAAAATATCAGCTGCTGTCGTTGTATCTGTCAACGGCACCAACTCCACGAACTCCTCGGTGACGGTCAATGTGTCATCAACTCCGCGGATGAAAATGGCCAGTTGTGCAACATCTGTAATGTCCGTGCTTTCATCAATTGCAACCGAAAACGCAATAAATTACTTTACTTTTTGCTTCAACTGGCTGTCCAAATCCACTGAAAGATCGGAAATCCTGTCTGCAACTGTGTTTCTTGTCAGGCTGATATTTGCAAAACCCTGCCGCTTTTCAGGGCACACAATCTCCGCTGCCTTCATCATGCATGTTTTTACAAATTCACCCTCACTAAATGGTTTTGAAGCCACTGCGATTTCATTAGCAATGAGGTAGCTAGCTTTCACTGCAGCGTCACTGATGTCTCGGCTGTGAGTAAACACAGACTTGACCTACTTGCTCTGCCCCGGTATAAACAGTTTGCTTGCTTAACACAATTGCTATTGCGCCATCCAGTGGACGCAATTGGAACAGCAGTTTATTGAAAAATTGCAGCGCATTTTTAGACTTTACAAAATCATCTCGCGGGCCGGATTAAACCCGTTTGCGGGCCTGATCCGGCCCGTGGGCCGGACGTTTGACACCCCTGGTCTAGGAGCAACAACGGCTCAGCCAGGAAGTAGTAGGCCACACAAGCTCACAGAACGGGTCCGCCGAGTGCTGTAGCGGTTGCAACACTCACTACCGAGTTCCAAACTGCCTCAGGAAGCAACGTCAGCACAATAACTGTTCGTCTAAGATCACCATGCGCAATGCCAAACATCGGCTGGAGTGGTGTAATGCTCGCCGCCATTGGACTCTGGAGAAGTGGAAATGCGTTCTCTGGAGTGATGAATCACGCTTTACTATCTGGCAGACCGACGGAAGAATCTCAGTTTGGCTGATGCCAGGAGAACGCTACCTGCCACAATGCATAGTGCCAACTGTAAAGTTTGGTGGAGGTGGAATAATGGTCTGGGACTGTTTTTCATGGTTCAGGCTAGACTCCTTAGTTCCAGTGAAGGGAAATCTTAACGCTATAGTGTACAGTGACATTCTAGAAGATTCTGTGCTTCCAACTTTGTGGCAACAGTTTGGGGAAGGCCCTTTCCTGTTTCAGCATGACAATGCCCCCGTGCACAAAGCGAGGTCCATACAGAAATGGTTTGTCAAGATCGGTGTGGAAGAACTTGGCTGGCCTGCTCAGAGCCCTGACCTCAACCCCATCGAACACCTTTGGGATGAATTGGAACAGCGACTGCGAGCCAGACCTAATTGCCCAACATCAGTGCCCGACCTCACTAATGCTCTTGTGGCTGAATGGAAGCAAGTCCCCACAGCAGTGTTCCAACATCTAGTGGAAAGCCTTCCCAGAAGAGTGGTGGCTGTTATAGCAGCTAAGGGGGGACCAACTCCATATTAATGCCCATGATTTTGGAATGAGATGTTTAGATCGTGAAGTTGAATGTAATTGAACTATGGGTTATTGGGTTATCCTGCTGTTTCACCTGCAATTATTATATCAGGTCACCTTGCAAAGGTAGATTATACTTTAGCCATAAAAAGTTGATTAGTGTTCTTTAGTTTTGTCAAACATCACGAGTATTTTTTGGTTTTAGTTATATTGCTTGAATAAGCTGTATTGTTTGTACCATATTTACATTTTGTAAAATCAATTATGGTCTCATACATTAGCTGTTATTCTCTCATCCCCTCTCTTAGGTCTGCGGTGTATTTCCCAGAGCAAGGTGGCTGTTCTTCTGCTAGCGGGGGGCCAAGGGACCCGGCTTGGGGTGTCCTACCCAAAAGGCATGTATGATGTGGGTCTGCCTTCCCACAAGACCCTGTTCCAGATCCAGGCAGAGAGGATACTGAGGCTTCAACAGCTGGCAGAACAGAGACACGGAGCCAAGTGCGGCATCCCCTGGTGAGACTGGGACTGGCAGCTAAGGGCATAATGATACACCATAGGGGTTACACAGCACATAACATGCAGCTAGTGATGAGCGATTAGTGCTCTTTGAGGTCGTTTCGTTTTGGTTTGAATATTACATTTGTTTTAGGCCTATTTGATGACTTTATTATTTCATTCCAAGTCATCTCTATAGAGCTGCTGCCTATGCTGTCTGACAAAATCACTATTTTAGTAGTTATTTAAATTAAATAAGGCATACTTTTATGACTGCTGAATAACAACTATCAATCTTAGATCATGTATTTTCACGTAGAGATACCTCACGAAGCAACTGCTCTCAACCGCGTGTTGTTCTGCCTCTTCTCTCCGTCTGAGACCGGACAAGGAGGCGTGCAATGGATTATGGTCATTGTAGTTAATGACCACGTTTTCTGCGCTAAACTATGTAGACTATTGGCCTGTTGGAAAAGGGGTTGGAGGGGGGGAGGGGGGGGGGGGGGGGGGGGGGGGGGGGGGTACTAAGCAAACATTGAATTGTTTTAAGATGGTCATACCATGGATCATTTAGCGATTTCATTTTGAATTTTAGGACCCCTTTAGGTAACAAAAATAAAATATTGAATTTGGCCTTTACTACTATAGCCCACAGAAACGCATTGAATAACACATTCATAAAAAGCAAAGAAGACAGTAAAAAAAGTAATCATAAGGAATAAGGTTTTGACGTGTCTGTCCTATATCTGAGAGAGATATATATATTTATTTTTTTACACATTTAACCCCATATGTTTTGGGGCACAAAACTACCTCCATATTTCCATTTGTTTGTATGGGTTAACTTCAGACGAGTCCCGTGACATTTGTGGGGGTCGTAGATCAAAATGGAGAACACCATTGTGATAGTTTTGTAGGCCAAACCGTTCGGACACTGCAGACCTTTTGGATTTTAGGGATGTCTCATGGTTGTACAAACACCGCTGTAGCTCGGCCACCTTCCACCGCAGATGTAGAAGGCTGACATAGGCGGATGCAGTGGATTGAGACGCAGCCCACGCAAAAAAACATATCTCTAGTTGTTGGGGATTTTTTAAAATTACATTACTTTGATTGACGCAATGGTGCGTCAATAGACTCTTAATGATTTAAGAAACGAAAAATAACCGACATTTCAGTTTATCGCTCAGCACTACAGCAAGCTGACCACAGACCACTGTTTCTCAATCCATTCCTGAGGGACCCATTTTTGTTTTAGCCCAGTTTGTGAAATCACAAACAAACCATACAACCCTGTTATTGTATCAAAGATATATGTTTTTATGTTCCCCCTCTCAGTTCTCTGATTATTAACTACACCTACATATTGCTGCCACTCCCCTGTATCAATCAAGGAAGTGGTTTGATCCCAGAAAGGAGCAGTATTATACAGTGCCTATAGAAAGCAAGTGGACCAAAACCGCTGTTTGAAGCTGGTGAACAAAAACCGAAAGTAACTTTCGTGTGTAGAATTTTAGCAACCAAGATGAGACAGAGATTTCCACTAGATAACACAGCCACAAAGTCAGAACAGTTTTCCCAGTTTGGGAACAGTTGCTGCTCCGGCAGGAGAAATCAATAGGCGTATATCAAAGCACTGGCAGGTAAGTAATACTGTGAAACCCTATCATTGTACTATTAGCGCCAGATACATTATGGACATTTTCTGAAATTACAATGCAAACATTTTTTTTAAATACTATGTGTAGCACCTTTAAGTCAAAACTGTAATTTGGCCACTCAGGAGCAGTGTCTGTCTTCTTGTTAAGCAACTCCAGTGTAGATTTGGCTTTTTGTTTGAGGTTATTGTCCTACTGAAAGGTGATTTTCTCTTCCAGTGTCTGGTGTAAAGCAGACTGAAGCAGGTTTTCCTATAGGATATTGCCTGTGCTTGCCCCAACCAGTTTCTTTTCATCCTGTAAAGCAGACTGAAGCAGGTTTTCCTATAGGATATTGCCTGTGCTTGCTCCATCCTGTTTATTTTCATCCTGAAAAACTCCCCAGTCTTTGCTGATGTCAAGTATACCCATACTATGATGCTGCCACCACCATGCTTGTAAATAAGGAAGCAGTTGCTCAGTGTTGTGTTGGATTTGCCCCAAACATTCGACTTCGCATTTAGGCCAAAAAGTGTATTTCTTTGCCGCATTACTTTTGTGCTTTTGTTGCATGCTTTGGAATATTTCTATTCTGTATATATTTTTTTATTCTTCTTTTCACTGTCATTATTGTCAAATTAAATCAAATCAAATTTTATTTGTCTCATGAGCTGAATACAACAGGTGTAGACTTTAATGTGAAAAATGTACAAAAAAGGAATTTGTAACAATTAAATATCAATAACAAGACTATACAAGGAGTACCGGTACCGAGTCAGTGTGCAGGGGTACGAGGTATTGTGGAGTCACTACAATGTTGTTGATCCATCTTCAGTTTTCTCCCATCATAGCCATTGAACTCTGTAGCTGTTTTAAAATCACCAATGGCCCCATGGTTACATCCCTAAGCAGTTTCCTTCCTGTCCTGCAGCTCAGTTCAAAAGGACGACTGCATCTTTGATGTGTCTGGGTGGTTTAAGACATCATACACAGCATAGTTATTAACTTGACCATGGTTAAATATATATTCAATATCTGATTTGTTTTTGTTACCCATCTACCAATTCCTGCCCTTATTTTATGAGGCTTTCGAAAAGCTCCCTGGTCTTTGTAGTTGAATCTGTGCTTGAAATTCAATACTTGACTGAGGGACCTTACAGATGTACTGTATGTATGGGGGACAGAGGAAGGGGTAATTATTCAAAAATGTCAACCCCTATTATTTCACACAGTGAGTCCATATAACTTATTATGTGATTTGTTAAGCCAGGGGGTGAATACTTATGCAACGACTATATTTTAGTTCATTTTAATTAATTTGTAAATATTTGTAGAATTTTCTTTTCACTTTGAGATTATGGATTATTTTTTGTTGATCAGTCACAAAATATTACAATTAAATCTATTTCAATCCCAATTTGTAATGCAACAAACTGTGAAAAAAGTTATAGGGGGTGTATACTTTCTATAGGCACTGTAAATCTCTATGGAGTAGATGAAGGGAGTCATGGCCCCGTGTAGCTAGGTTGGTAGAGCATGGCGTTTGCAACGCCATGGTTGTGGGTTCGATTCCCACGGGGGGCCAGTATGAATTTTTTTTAATAAATCACTAACTGTAAGTCGCTCTGGATAAGAGCGTCTGCTAAATGACTAAAATGTAAATGTAATTAAGACTATTCAGAAGTGGGTTGACAGGAAGGAGACATGTCTAGCTGGCATCCCGTGTTTGGGGCAGGGCTCTCTGTAATTAATATCAGGGGTCATGACTAAGAGCTCACCATGAGATGCCAGATGCCATCCAGTCATAAGGAAGTACTTCTGGTTTTGTGTCTTGTGATGGGTTGTTCCCACCATGTCTTTTTAACTTTAGTCAGATCTGAGCATTCAGCTGTTAAAATTCATCTGGATTAAATTGTTTGCCAGATAATGTGCATTATGAATAACCTTTCTGGAATCTTCGTAAAATGAGAGAGGAGAGGTTTCCAATCTTATGAAACGTATAAGTCATTGATGCAGTGAATCACAGTGAAAAGTCAAAAACATTGTTTAAAAAAAACAAATGAATCACTGTCTTGAGAGTTCGAGAGCTTGGGACTATACTGTTCTATCTGCAGTTTTGTCCAAATTGAGTTATTGACATAGCCTTGTTCTGCTCAATGTTCTCTACCTACAGTATATAGTACTCTAAATGCCCCAATTCATGTTAAATTCAAAAGAATACTAGATAAAAATTGCTGACTCCATTCAAACCAATGAGGGTTCGGAACTTTAAAGCCAATTATCTCAGAATCATCTTTTTGCAGATGGAACCAAGCTCTCGATTTGTATTAGCCTTGAATCAAACCAAATGTATTATCCCATTCCCCCTGCACATAATGACCAGTGAATGAATGAATCAAAAAATTAATAATAAGTGAATTTCTCCCTAGGTACATCATGACAAGCGGCCGGACCATGGAGTCGACTAAAGAGTTCTTTTCGCGCCACAGCTACTTTGGGCTGGGCAAAGACAACGTGATCTTCTTCCAGCAGGGCATGTTGCCTGCCATGGACTACAACGGCAAGATCATCCTGGAGAGCAAAGCCAAGCTGGCCATGGCCCCAGGTACACAACATAACTTAATCTGTGTTTGAGTGTGTGCGTACATCTCTGTGTATTTTAGATGATAACGGGTCTACTGATGTGTGTGTCTGTATTTCAGATGGTAACGGGGGTCTGTACAGAGCTCTGGGTACTCAGGGGATCGTGGAGGACATGGAACGGAGGAGGATCGGGTTCATCCATGTGTACTGTGTGGACAACATACTGGTTAAAGTAGCAGACCCTGCCTTTGTCGGCTTCTGTGTCCAGAAAGGAGGAGACTGTGGGGCTAAGGTTTGTAGCTCTCTGTCTCTTTCTCACTGGAAGTTTCTCTCGGCCAGCTCTCTATTGCGGTCTCTCGCTGTCTCTCTGCCCTCTTCTGTCTCTCACAATGTGGCCAAATGTGACTCATGAGGTCACCCGATGTGTTCCAATACTCTTAAATGACTTCCTTCCTTCTCTAGTCAGGTCCTATCTCAGTAGCTTAAAGTGTTTTCCTCTCCTGGTCTCTCCCTCTAAGCCAATGTTCACAAAGGCTTTGAGCTGAAAGCAGTATGGTTGGTCACTCTGGAATGAGAAGGAAGTTATTGAAATTAATTTAGACTCTGACGATGTGCGTCATCATCCAGTCCTTGATCTGCTGGTGGTTCAGGTCCTGTTGTGCAATACCAGACCAGGAAGTAGTATTGAAACATGAAACTGTGTTCAGTAAATGTGTGTTTGGATAAGAGGGTGTGACTGAGGGGATTCGATTAAACTGGCCCGGGTGGCAGTTTGCACCTGGTGAAAAGTGATTGTATTCGTTTTGGAACCTGGCTGCCTCCCTGGCATGAGCCAGGCGCCCTGCTCTGGCCAACGGTGAAGTCAGCTAAAAACAAAAGTGATGTAGGTTAATTAAGCATGTGGAGTAACGAGTATTATTCTGTTTTCACATGCAAAGTGTTTGCTTTTGATTTAAAATGCTTTGCCTGCCTTCCCACTGAAAACTAGTTCGAAAATTCTAACATATTTTATGGAGAGATGTGTTTTCTGAACGATGCCTCATGCTTCCTTATTGACAGTATGACCGAGCAGCGCATATTCTATTACTGTTCAATTTTAGCAGGGTGTGCCTCTTTCACCGGACACGTGACAGGCCATAGCGCGGTGAACCCACAGAGTGTCTAAATCCAGAAGCGCAACATAGCGAGACTTCGGAGAACGCATGCGCTTAGCTAGCGTACAAGTGTGATCGGGGATTTCTATTGGAAAAGCAGTTTTAGCCCATCTTCATACTGTACTGTCTTCGATGAGACATTGAAAACTGCCTTGGCACGACTTCTCCTCTATAAAGAACTGCACTTCTTCTAGTTCACCAAAAGGTGGGGGTGTAGACTGCCATCACCCAGAAGGAGTTAAGCAGCAGGCATTTCTTCACATACAGGGTTCAAATCAAGACGAATTTCGGCCAACTTTAACATCCCGCCAACTTTTCTTTGTATATGAAAGGTATGGCCGGCGACAAAGCCTCTACTTTTCCTTCCGCCATCTGACCTAGTCATGATTGCGGTAAAGTTCTACCTACGGCTTAAAGACAATTTTACTTGCTCTGGAAATGTGATTAGGAGGCTCCCTATGGAGGGTGTGACTCAATTGCGGAGCCTCCAGAGGCTTGGAGCGGCCAACTCGAGCGCCATACCGAATCGCTGTGTGCCTCCCAAATTGTGTAACAATGTGGTGGAGTACTCTGTATAGCCCCGCATTGACAGGATTGGTTGACGGTAGGGGCGGGAGGTCCTGTATAAACAAACTCAGTTCCTTTACTATTTCCTTCACAGCTGCTCTGCTCCGCTAAGCGCAAGAAGTATAAATGCACTACTATCAGTGGCGATTTTAGCATGTCAATCTTGGTAGGGCAAAAAAACAAACACATGTGGGATGCATGCCAGCAAAGCCACTACACAACACAACACTAAACAATACATTAATTGCACTATAACGGTGACAAACGGTGCCCACAAACTGTTAGGGCCTACATAAAGCTGTCCCAACATCTTACCACTGCTACACCTGGCTATCAGCGCAGCCTTGTCTGGCAGCGAAACAGTTCATTCAGCCTCATTTACTGCCTTAAAAAAACCATAGCTGATATGGCTGACTTGCTTAAACAAATGTGGTTTCTACAGACAATTGAGGATGTACAAACTATGGCATAAGGGGATGACAAGCGGATAAGAGGTAATCAGTCATTTCTATTAGGATATTAATGAGCGAGCTAGGACGGACGTAGTCAATATAACTATTTGTTCAGCACTTTTGAAATGTACAATGGGCCGTTCTTACAGTGTTCTCCCTGTACACCAAGTCAGAACTGTAGGATAAATAAAGGGGGCATATAAGCAGACAATGAAAGCTCTTACGATATTCAATGATTACATTTCTCTAAAACAGGTTAGGCCACATGTGCACCACCAAGTCAGAACAGTAGGTGAAATTAAGAGGGGAAAATATACCAAATTATTAGGGTGAGGCACATGGGCTACTAACAGCTTACTACACAACATACACTTAGTATTACTTTCTTAGTTACAGTATACATATCTCCCTGGATTTATAAAAAATTGATATCCACCCACATTGGCCCACATCTACTCCCACTCCTAAATTGCCAGTATGTGCACGGGAGATATAAAATTATTATCACAGCAACAATGTTGTAAAAATAGGAATGTATGAATTGGGCTCTAAAAAAACATTGGCTGATCTTTAAAAAAAATATGTTTTGATTATTTATTATACCGTAAAGTCTGTCTGTAAAGGGTTCCGCCTAGAGCCAAGGTCTGAGCAGAGGAGTTTTTAAGCTAGACAAATGATAGGCTATTCCTCTTAAAAACACTTCCAGGGAGTCTCATTCATTGCTACTTCAAGTAATCTCACTGTACATTGATTGGTTTGATGACTGAGATTATAAGACAATTTGACTAAAACAAACACTAAAGAATAAAAATACAGTGGCTTGCTAAAGTATTCACCCCTTTGGCATTTTTCCTATTTTGCTGCCTTACAACTTGGAATTAAAATGTATTTTGGGAGGGTTTGTATCATTTGATTTACACAACATGCCTACCACTTTGAAGATGCAAACAAACAAGAAATAAGACAAAAAAACAGAACTTGAACGTGCATAACTTTTCACCCCCCCAGAGCCACCTTTTGCAGCAATTACAGCTGCAAGTCTCTTGGGGTACGTCTCTATAAGCTTGGCACATCTAGCCACTAGGATGTTTGCCCATTCTTCAAGGCAAAACTGCTCCAGCTCCTTCAAGTTGGATGGGTTCCGCTGGTGTACAGCAATCTATAAGTCATACCACAGATTCTCAATTGGATTGAGGTCTGGTCTTTGACTAGGCCATTCCAAGACATTTCAATGTTTCCCCTTAAACCACTTGTGTGTTGCTTTAGCAGTATGCTTAGGGTCATTGTCCTGCTGGAAGGTGAACCTCCATCCCAGTCTCAAATCTCTGGAAGACTGAAACAGGTTTCCCTCAACAATTTCACTGTATTTAGCGCCACCCATCATTCCTTCAATTCTGACCAGTTTCCCAGTCCCTGCCGATGGAAAAACATCCCCACAGCATGATGCTGCCACCACCATGCTTCACTGTGGGGATGGTGTTCTCGGGGTGATGAGAGGTGTTGGGTTTGCGCCAGACATAGTGTTTTCCTTGATGGCCAAAAAGCTCAATTTTAGTCTCATCTGACCAGAGTACCTTCTTCCATATGTTTGGGGAGTGTCCCACATGCCTTTTGGCGAACACCAAACGTGTTTGCTTATTTTTTTCTTTAAGCAATGGCTTTTTTCTGGCCTCTCTTCCGTAAAGCCCAGCTCTGTGGAGTGGACGGCTTAAAGTGGTCCAATGGACAGATACTCCAATCTCCGCTGTGGAGCTTTGCAGCTCCTTCAGGGTTAACTTTGGTCTCTTTGTTGCCTCTGATTAATGCCCTCCTTGCCTTGTCTGTGAGTTTTGGTGGGCGGCCCTCTCTTGGCAGGTTTGTTGTGGTGTCATATTCTTTCCATTTTTTAATAATGGATTTAATGGTGCTCCGTGGGATGTGCAAAGTTTCGGATGTTTTTTTATAACCCAACCCTGATCTGTACTTCTCCACAACTTTGTCCCTGACCTGTTTGGAGAGCTCCTTGGTCTTCATGGTGCGCTTGCTTGGTGGTGCCCCTTGCTTAGTGGTGTTGCAGACTCTGGAGCCTTTCAGAACAGGTGTAATATACTGAGATCATGTGACAGATCATGTGACACTTAAATTGCACACAGGTAGACTTTATTTAACTAATTATGTGACTTCTGAAGGTAATTGGTTGCGCCAGATCTTATTTAGGGGCTTCATAGCAACGGGGGTGTATACATATGCACGCACCACTTTTCTGTTATTTATTTTTTTGAATTTTTTGAAACAAGTTTTTTTTTTTCATTTCACTTCACCAATTTGGACTATTTTGTGTATGTCCATTACATGAAATCCACATAAAAATCCATTTAAATTACAGGTTGTAATGCAACAAAATAGGAAAAACGCCAAGGGGGATGAATACTTTTGCAAGGCACTGTAACTGCTGCCACTATATGAAGTGATACTGGCCTTTACTGCCTCATTATGAACAGTGAGGGAACCACACAGCCCTCCAACACAGAGAAGGCTTGGACCACTCAGCCTATAGTATCACATATCACAAGCCTGATGTATGAATCTGTTTTTTCTACACAATGAGTTTGGACACGGTGTACTATTTTTGAGAGGGAAGAAAACTTTACAGGGAGCAGTGGTTAAATAGGAAACTTAACTGGTTTCTTCTCAGGAAAGCTACGTTGGTTACAATGTGTGTTTAACTAGCGTGGCAGTGCAAGGTACTTATTTATATAACTATTAAAAATGTTTCTTGTTTTTTTACTTTCATCTTCCGATGTTGGTGAGGTCTGACATTGGCTAGCGTTCAGCGTTACAGCACCCCTACCACGCGAACACACACGCGTCTGTGTGAAGTCAGTGTGCATGAGTACTGTGAGGAGGATAGAAGTAGTAAGACTAAACTTGGGAGGAAAGTCTTCCATCCATGCAGCACTAGAGCAGAGATTGGGACCTAGCTGTTATATTATCCATTTCATCCTTCTGGTAGCAGCTATGTGATGTCTGTAACACCCTCTGATCACTGTCTCAGAGCTGCTACTCAAACACACACACAGGAATGTTTTGGCTGGCTGGTCCCCATTCGACACCCTTTAGACTAGAAGCTGCTATAACCCTTCGTTAGTGTGCACTTTCTTCACATGAGTGGACACTCCCTTCTCACCCTACCCCTCACCCCTGCACTCCCCCTCACCTCCTCCCCATCTCCCTTAGTTCGTTATTAGTGACAGGCCTGCTCCTGTTGGAACAGACAGTCCGCACTTAACACGAACACACCAAGACCAGATTGTTCAGTTGACATTTTGGGTTAAGTTCTGCAGGATTGGCTTGAATCCTTCTCAGTAACTTTTGTACACTGATGTCTTTACAGCATACATAGAGACATACCATGAAAGATCTCCAAAGACTCCTGAAATTAGCTTCAAAAGCATGTATCATTTTCTGTGACGTCCAACAACGTGCTTTGTACATTAACCTGACTGCAGCCTAGCCTGCACATTTACCAGTTCTGTGCAACTTGTCACACCATCACCACAAAACTCTGCAGAATGGAGAAAAGGCTTTTAACACTTGAAATATGCCTCTGAAGTACAGATGTAATTAAATTAAATATTTAACTCCATGTTGAGAGCTGTAGTAAACCCATTCCTGCTGCGTGTCAGTCTGTGAGCTGTGGTGTGGAGGCTCTGCTAGGATCAGAGGAATGCAGGGACCCACCCTCCTGTCGTTAACTGACAGACTGCAGTTGATGTGGCTTCTTCCACCAAGCCTCTCCCCCATAGCTAAACCCCTCCCCACCCTATCCCAGCCCTCACCCTCATCAAGGCCCAGACTCTCCCCCACCACTAACCCCCTCAACAAGCCCAGCTCTGTCATTTGGACTGCCAACCAGATGGGCAGAGGGCTGGATCTCTGATTTGGACCAGACTCCAGTCACTAAAATGTACAGTCAACTCCTATTTTTAAGAATCACATCCATGTCTTCATTTCTGTCTGCAACGTTTTGACCCTAATTCCAAACCTCTCTGTAAATGGCAATCAAATACTTTTAAAGGGGGAGTGAACTAGTGCACGCTTTGAAGAGGAGGGCAGAATCTGGTAGCAGTCCCAGGTGAGGTAAAATCCTTTCCTGTGACATCACTTCCAGGTGGTGGAGAAGACCAATCCAACGGAGGCGGTGGGCGTGGTCTGTAAGGTGGACGGATGTTACCAGGTGGTAGAATACAGCGAGATCTCCTTGGCTACGGCTGAGGAGCGCAGCGCGGACGGGCGGTTGATGTTCAACGCTGGAAACGTAGCCAATCACTTCTTCACACTACCCTTCCTCAGGGACGTCGTCCAGTGAGTCTCACACACACACAAACATGCATACACACACATTTAACACAGCTACAGTGAGGGAAAAAAGTATTTGATCCCCTGCTGATTTTGTACGTTTGCCCACTGTCTATAATTTTAATGGGAGGTTTATTTGAACAGTGAGAGACAGGATAACAACAAAACAATCCAGAAAAATGCATGTCAAAAATGTTATAAATTAATTTTCATTTTAATGAGGGAAATAAGTATTTGACCCCCTCTCAATCAGAAAGATTTCTGGCTCCCAGGTGTCTTTTATACAGGTAATGAGCTGAGATTAGGAGCACACTCTTAAAGGGAGTGCTCCTAATCTCAGTTTTCTACCTGTATAAAAGACACCTGTCCACAGAAGCAATCAATCAATCAGATTCCAAACTCTCCACCATGGCCAAGACCAAAGAGCTCTCCAAGGATGTCAGACACAAGATTGTAGACCTACACAAGGCTGGAATGGGCTACAAGACCATCGCCAAGCAGCTTGGTGAGAAGGTGACAACAGTTGATGCGATTATTCGCAAATGGAAGAAACACAAAAGACCTGTCAATCTCCCTCGGCCTGGGGCTCCATGCAAGATCTCACCTAGTCGAGTTGCATTGATCATGAGAACGGTGAGGAATCAGCCCAGAACTACACGGGAGGATCTTGTCAATGTTCTCAAGGCAGCTGGGACCATAGTCACCAAGAAAACAATTGGTAACACACTACGCCGTGAAGGACTGAAATCCTGCAGCGCCCGCAAGGTCCCCCTGCTCAAGAAAGCACATATACAGGCCCATCTGAAGTTTGCCCATGAACATCTGAATGATTCAGATGAGAACTGGGTGAAAGTGTTGTGGTCAGATGAGACCAAAATCGAGGTCTTTGGCATCAACTCAACTCGCCGTGTTTGGAGGAGGAGGAGGAATGCTGCCTATGACCCCAAGAACACCATCCCCACCGTCAAACATGGAGGTGGAAACATTATGCTTTGGGGGTGTTTTTCTGCTAAGGGGACAGGACAACTTCACAGCATCAAAGGGACAATGGACGGGGCCATGTACTGTCAAATCTTGGGTGAGAACCTACTTCCCTCAGCCAGGGCATTGAAAAGGGGTCGTGGATGGGTATTCCAGCATGTCAATGACCCAAAACACACGGCCAAGGCAACAATGGAGTGGCTCAAGAAGAAGCACATTAAGGTCCTGGAGTGGCCTAGCCAGTCTCCAGACCTTAATCCCATAGAAAATCTGTGGAGGGAGCTGAAGGTTCGAGTTGCCAAACGTCAGCCTCGAAACCTTAATGACTTGGAGAAGATCGGCAAAGCGAACTGGGACAAAATCCCTCCTGAGATGTGTGCAAACCTGGTGGCCAACTACAAGAAACGTCTGACCTCTGTGATTGCCAACAAGGGTTTTGCCACCAAGTACTAAGTCATGTTTTGCAGAGGGGTCAAATACTGATTTCCCTCATTAAAATGCAAAACAATTTATAACATTTTTGACATGCGTTTTTCTGGATTTTGTTGTTGTTATTCTGTCTCTCACTGTTCAAATAAACCTACCATTAAAATTATAGACTGATCTTGTCTTTGTCAGTGGGCAAACGTACAAAATCAGCAGGGGATCAAATACTTTTTCCCCTCACTGTAAACACACCACGCACACACAGCCACGCACACAGCCACACATACCTCCATACAATAAGTGAGTTATTACATGATGAATGTGTAACCCCCATTTTAAGCAGGTATTTGAGGTCATTACATGGCTAGTGAGAACCTCATAACTTGAGAGAGAAGTAGTGGCTTTGGCCCTCTCTGGTTTCTAATGAGCAGTGTCTGTAAGCTGATAAATGGCTGGAAACATCGCAGTGACTTTTAATGAATACCCAGAATCTAAGGTGAGGGAAATGAAAGGAGGAAAAAGCTGCAGTTAGTTTTCTATGTCTGGACTTTGGTATTTTAAATACATGATGTCTTTGCCAGTGTTTTTCTTTCTCTTCATTGTTTAACAGTTATAACTAAGAGCATGTTTCAGATTTCCTGATCTCCCTTGTCTGTCTCTGTCTGTCTTTTAACTCTATCCCCTTCTCTCTGTCACTCCTCTCTCTCTTTCTCTCCCACCCCCTTTCTCTCTCCCTTTCCACCTCTCTCTCTCTCCCCCTTCCTCTTTCTCTCTCACTCTCGCTCAGGACATTCGAGCCTCAGCTGCAGCATCACGTGGCCCAGAAGAAAATCCCGTACGTGGACATGCAGGGAAGGCTAATCAAACCTGACAAACCGAACGGGATTAAAATGGAAAAATTTGTCTTTGACATCTTCCAGTTTTCCAAGTGAGTGCTGTGATTTTCCAGCTGGCTTTAGCGTGTGTGTTTCATGGCTGTGTTTCTGAAATTACTGCCTTCAATTCGACTGCCCAACCCTGGAGGTGAGGGCAAGGAGAGGCAGGAGAGGAGAAGAGAAAAGGCAGCAGGAATCAGGGTTCTCCCTCCACACAGCCAGGCTTCCGTTAGTAAGACCCAGGTCCTGACACCCAGATCTCTGGAGCCCCAACCCCAGCATCCAGCCACATGGCATGTTCCAACACCCCAGACCCCTAGCCGGAACCCCAGCTCCAGAGCCACTGTCCCAGAGCCAGGCAGCCCGGCCCGGCCCAGCCCTCCTCATAATAAAAATAAAAAGCCATCTAGCAGATGCTTTTATCCAAAGCGACTTACAGTCATGTGTGCATACATTTTTACGTATGGATGGTCCAGGGGATCGAACCCACTACCCTGGCGTTACAAGCGCCATGCTCTACCAATTGAGCTACAGAGGACCACATCCTCTTAGCCTCATCCTCTTCCTCCTGCTGCTGGGGCTTGAAGAGGCAGGTTTTACCAGCTGTTCCAGCCTCCTCTAACTCCCTCTCTCTCTCTCCCTCCCTCCAGCGGTTTAATCATCATGACATCATCTCTGAGTCATGTTGCTGCTTTTAGAACTTTACATGGAGTCAAAGGATTCTTCTCATTGCCATGAGATGAGGATGCTGTTCTATGTGGCTCTATTCTACAACCCTACACAATTATCACTCTCAGGTTGTTTAAAACTGGAATGGGATGATAAGTGTGTTTTGTTGTGGGTTACCTTGAAAAAGCTATCACTAAAGATGTATTCTCACAATGTGTGTGTGTCGCAGGACCTTTGTGGTGTACGAGGTTCTTCGTGAAGACGAGTTCTCTCCCCTGAAGAACGCTGACAGCCAGGACGGTAAAGACACGCCCACCACGACGAAACACGCCCTCATGTCCCTGCATCACCGCTGGGTCCTCAATGCTGGAGGACACTTCATAGACGAGAACGGAACGCGTGTGCCCGCAATACCCAGGTGAGACACACACACCAAACATACACAGTGAGTGTACGTTCTATTTACCTCTCCACCTGTTGACACGTTCATCACCATATAGTCTCCCTGTCACAGCTTTTTTACAGTCACACGTTTTCTCACAGCACCCCCTCACAGTTCCTCTTAACCCTGTGTGTCCTGTGTAATGTTTTAATGTTTCCAGAGACGGACCTGCAGGAAGTGGCACAGCTGATGTCAACCAGAAGTAACTATTCTCTGTGCTACTGACCTGAGTTACTGCATGGTGACGGGGCTTTGGCTTTCACACACTTTCTCAGTCGCTCACTGTAACCAACTGTCACACACACAAACACCCAGGCTGTCTCAATTCTCTACAGTTGCTTCTTCTCCTTGTTACCTGTCATCTGCTTTCACCTGGTCAGTTTATTCTGATCAGTGTGGGTGAAGGGAAGGAGACGAGGAGAGAAAAGGACTCGAGTGTTGAAATGCAGCCTGGAGTTTAGCTGTGCTAGGGCCCAGGTCAAAGGGCAATGTCACATGATCACCTGTCCTGTGCAGGTGGGGGCAGAGGTACCTGGCCTGCCCACTGACTTGGTCCCTGTTCCAATAGTCTTCATATGCATGCTTCCTTCACCTCTTTCTTTAGTCAATCACTGGTCTGCACGTGATTAAATAATTGTATGCCAGTTTACCACCCGGTTGCTATCACCTATCAAACCTTGCTAGATCAGTGATTACCTCAAGGAAGAAAGGAAGGATGCATAAGATATTGGAGCAGGGCCTAGTGCTAACTGGGACAGTAGGTACTAACCCACGGAATGTGGAGCATGCTGGGTAATGGGCACTGGGCACGCTTTGCGATCGATGATGTGACTGATGATGTCGCTGTGTTAATCTGTCTGTCTGATGGTGAAGGGGAGATGGGGAGACGATGAGTGGCCATTTCAGATCTGATGTTGGTCAGTTACCTGTGATTGTGACGACAACACCAAAAACATTTAAATCCTCTTTATTGTTCAAGGATGATTCAACACCATTTATAATATTTATAACATTCATAAATGTTCATAAATGCGACTTAGTGGTGTCATTAGATTGTAATAAGGTGTAGTGGCTCTTTCTGTGTGATGTATGCTCTCTCCCAATCAATAGAGAGACTTCATTCACTTCCACTTTTGACATTTCAAACTTGTGCTGACTTAGTCTTCCTGGACCTAGAATAAGCCTACTCCTGGACTAAATGGAATCTCAGTTGAAAGTGCTTTTTAGTCCAGGAATTGGCTTAATTTTTGTCCCGGAAACAGGTCTATGAGTCTGTGGAACTGCTGATGTTGACGCTTTAATGCTCCAAATGTTTAATCATCTAAGAACAGCTGGAGCAGAGAATCACACATCCAGCTGCTTCTTCTCTTTTTTCCCTCCGTGCGCAAGAGAGAACCAACTTAGCCTCTCCTCCTCCCTTCTTCCGACTCCTTCTCTTTTCCCCACAGCCTGAAGGATGGAACAGACCTGCCAATCAAATGTGAGATCTCCCCACTGGTGTCCTATGGAGGGGAGGTAAGGGGGAGGGACTTAACAGTAGGGCCCTGTTCAAATAGAAATAAATATAAAAACAAGTGTTTCCCATTATAGTTATTACATTCAGTTTTACAAGCATTGATGATATCATATCCTGATGATGTCACTTCCTGTTGTTGCAGGGGCTGGAGGGGCTGGTGAGGGGTCAAGAGTTCCGCCCCACCCTGGTCATCGACGAGAGTGGAGTCCACGAACTGGTGAAGAATGGAGTGTGAGGGACAGAAGGATGGAGAGGGAGAGAATGAAAGGGTGGGAGTGAGCAAAAAAGAGAGATGAGCCAAAGACCTATTCCACTCCTCCCCCCGTTTCAGTGCAATAATGCTGTGTTCATGCACTCTTGGAAATAATCTGAAACACAGGTTTCCGACATCCAAAAACGTTTAATGTGAACTTCCAAATTGGAATTATAAAACCTGGGAACCTGTGCTATAATTCAGTACCACGAGATCCAACCCCCAAGTGGAATGTTTTTTCAGATTTTTCCGAGGAGCACATGGCCGCAGCATAAGATGAAGGACAGAAGCCTTGCGTTGCGGGGCTGGATGAAGCAGTCAGAAGATCAAGTTATTTATTTTGCTTATAAGACGTATTTTTATATGGATGGATGTCTTGTAGAGGGAAATGACCCCCTATGCATTTTACCAAGTGATTTGTACACACAGATACAAATAGAGAGGAGTACAACGATTGTAATCAGATGATCCTAATGTGATTGATTATTAACATGTAATGTAGGTACATGGGAAGGGTTTTATTTATAATTACTATGTAGTATAGCACACTACTGCTAGTCTTTTGCCTGATTGTCTTCAAAATGACCCTGTTGAGCTATATGACATAGGAATTGTTTTCCATTTTCTTTATTAAAGAAATGTCCAATTTGGAACAGGTATGAGTTCTTTGATTAAACTCAAGGTTAGCGTGGTGTGTATGTCTCTATGCGGCGTGGATTTGTGTGTGCGAGCAAGCTCTGTGGTTATGAGTGTGTGTTGATTTGTCTATCTCTGTTTGTGTGTGTACGGCTGTGTGTGTGTGATGGGTGTTTTTTGCATTAGAAGTCCTGGTGTGTTGAATCAGAGATTCCAGCAGCAGCACATGGTTTGTGTTTAAGATGGGCAGAGAGAGCATGATACACTCACTGCTGCAGCCACTCAGAAATTATAGTCTGTGGCTCCTAACCATCTCTCTGTCTGTTTGTCTGTCTCAGTCTCGCACACACTTACTCTCACTTTCTCCTTTTTTCTTCCTCTCTCATCTCCTCTTTTCTCTCTTTCACTATCTCTCACTCCCGCTACAGTATCTCCGACAGAAGGTATTGATTGCAGTGATAGAGAGAAATGCGTAGGTAACACTTTTATAAGGTGTACCTCAATGTAAATGTTGAGTTGACTGTGGTAAATAACGTTGATGTCTATTCTAGTCGGTTATATTCCTTCAGCCAGGTATGAAACATGACCATGTGCATAGATAGCTTTAGCAGGCTGGACTGGCCTTGACTGGACTGGACTACTGTAGCATATGCTTTCCTCATTAAGCCACACCATGCTTTTCCACCATGAAGGAAATGAAACATTTAAAGGAGAATTCCACCCCGTGATCATTATTTGATCAGTTGATCCTTACCTTCTCAATCCTCCCTATCCCTTTTATTTCCTGAGTCTGGCCAAACGTTTTGGTCTACATCAGCAACGGAATACTGGCGGTGATGATGTCATCAGGAGGTGACTGTCTCCTAACTCTTCACTAAGGTGAGCTCATTCTGTGGACTGAGTATAATGTTTAGGCTAAAAAGGGCTTCATTAATTGTTATAAGTTATTATCTTAGTAACAGTACTGTTGTCTAGCTTGCCATTCTAAATAATGTAAATTAAACTAATTCCAGTACAGTTGTAAGTGTACTAACAGTGTAAAAACACTACTTAAGTGCATTGCCAATGTCATATCTATGGTCACTATAAAAGGTTTTTGTATTGTAAAATGGAACCCTATCAAATGTGTCATTTAAAAAAAAAAAAAAATCCAGGGTTGAATTGAAGTTATTTTATGTTTTATTTTGTTTAAATTATTTGTAATTTCTTCCACACAACAACAATAGGCAACATTTGAATTGAAATGTCCTGTGCTTTATAAATTATAGCTGCCATGAATTAGTGGTTTCATTGCTCCCTCAGGCTGTCAAAAGAAAACGTTCTCCTCAAGGAGAAAAGGGCATTCTGAATGGGTACTGGGGTTTGACTTAATTGAAACGATATGTGTAGCATGAGGAATTCTGGGATTTTGGCATGCCCCCAAGAATCCTCAGAATGTGATGTTTTTTTCTCTTTCTCTCCCTCCTCTCCGAGCTCCCTTTTTTTCCAGGGGTGTCTTGCATCAGTCCAGTGAGTGTGAGAGCGACCTGAGCTGAGCGAGAGTGAACAGAGAGAGAATAGGGAGGCTTGGATTCTAACAGACTGAATTGGGGACACGGACACTCACTGGAATACTCCACCGCCTCCTCGGAACAAATGGTTTGAAAGGATAAACTCTTTAAAAGTATGTTTCAATAGTCTTTTTTCTCAAAAATAACTTTTTTCGAATTTTACTTTATTTCTTCTGTGTTTCGATGGTAAAGGGTTTGGGTTTCACTTTAAGCTAGATAGATGCTTCTGTTTTCTGTAGAATTGTGTCAGTACCTCACATTAGTCTAGGTGTCTGTGTTTTTAGTGTAGTTTTGAACCCATGTCCCATTTGTCTGCAAGAGAGAAAGAGAGAGCGCTGCTGTTTGCATGGCAGGCTAGAATAGAGGATAGCAGAGAGACCTGATGCAGCCTTTTGCATATCCACACTTCACTGTGAAAAGCACTGCTGCAATCCAGCTGCTACTCAGAGACTTTTACACACATACTGTAGCTCTGGTTTGAATTTGAACATTATTTTGAAATGTGCATTTGCTTAGGTTTTAAAGTAGACTATTTGCACTTTTATCCCAGAATATGATGGCATTAAAAAACAGACTAAAAATTTTCAAACAACTTAATCAACTTATCTCAGTGGAGGCTCCTCAAAGGAGGAAGGGGAGGACCATCCTCCTCAGTTAATTCCATAAAAATAAAAATAGTGAAACATTTCAAATGTATCCTTTTTAGATAAAACTATACAAAATATATTCACGTCACCAAATAATTGATTAAAACACACTGTTTTGCAATGAAGGTCTACAGTAGCCTCAACAGCACTCTGTAGGGTAGCACCATGGTGTAGCCGGAGGACAGCTAGCTTCTGTCCTCCTCTGGGTACATTGACTTAAATACAAAACCTAGGAGGCTCATGGTTCTCACCCCCTTCCATAGACTTACACAGTAATTATGACAACTTCCGGAGGACGTCCTCCAACCTATCAGAGCTCTTGCAGCATGAACTGATATGTTGTCTACCCAATCAAAGGAGCAGAGAATTAATCAAGTACTGAAGGCGTAAGCTAAAGCTAGCTAGCACTGCAGTGCATAAAATGTGGTGTACGTTACTCAAAGAGAGAGCGAGACAATAGTTGAACAGTTTTGAACAAATTAATTCATTGAGAGAGAGATTTTGTCTTTTTTTCCCACTTACTTAGCTAGCAAATGCAGCTAGCTAGTTTAGCCTACTCAAACACCCGGCTCAAACAGAGGGATGCTATGTTAGCTAGCTGGCTATGACTATCCAACACTGGAATTTTTTTCCAAGTCAAGGTAAACTTTTGGTTTTACAAATGTATTGGCACCGGCGGGTGTACCTGCTGAACTGCTTGCTGACTACACTGTACTGCATGATTGTAGCGGGTTTAAGAATGCGTTAGTTCTATTAGCTATGTTGACTATGACATTACTTTAGCTAATATGGTGGCAATGACAACGATGTACGCTGTGTGTCACGGTTATGATATGAAGGTTTGTTTTGGAAAGGTTTTTTCGCCTGTTCACAGACAGCTGATGTGTTGTGCATTGAAGTCCACAAGCGATGGGAAAAGGTGAGAGGAGGAGAGCGCATAGATGCGAGAAGGAATACAACAAGCAGTTTTCTTTTTCTTTTCTTTTTTTACAACGAGCTGTTTGTAATTGGCTTAAACGGAAGCAAACGGAACAAAACGGGGATAGACATACCTGAATTTGTCCAATAGAAACTCTAGTTTGTAACTGTTGGACTAATGATTACGCCCTAGATCAGCTAGATGCAGGCAAGAGGGTGCAAGGCGGTATTGAATGTGTCACTGTCTGTCCATGTGTCACTGTCTGCCACCTCAAATCTTTCTGTCGACTTGTGTGCACCTACGTTGTAAACTTTCATTCATAGGCTAAGTTGTAGAAACCTCATGATGGGTATAGAGAAAATTTGAGTATCATGTAGTAGCCTAAACCTATCGATATTACATTGAACTGGGTGAATAGAATATGAATGACAGTCATCCAATATGCTGTAATAGAAATAAGGCCATGCTCATTAACAAAAGGTAGTCCTCCCTCATCTTACACGGCACCGACCGCCATTGTTATCAGTTATGCCATACATTACAGGAAGTTAAACATTTGCTTGCTAGTTACGTCATTGTTTTTTACTACGTATTACTCAATGGAGAATATAGCCTTACAATATCTGTGACATTGACAATTCTTAGAAAATCTGGACTGCAAAATGATGTTGTGCTTCCCAGTTGATAGGATATTGAAGGTCTTGTTTTTGTCTGGTGAAACTAATGCAGAAATTGCTTGAGGCTTTTTCACTTTCACGCTGCCACTTCAAACCCCAGAGATAATGTGTTCTGCTTTGTTTTGGTGGGCATTCGTTCACTGTGTTTTGGAAAAGTTGAGCAACTTTTCACCACTTGAGTTCCTGTCCCTGACATGTTATTTTGGCTTGGTTTTATCATACATAACATATGGTCATATGTGAATTGTATTGTCATTTAGACTAAGGCATGTACAGTATAATGCTATGGTCTCAAAGATTTCCTCTACAAACCTTTAGACCTCATAGCCTGTAAAGAGCACACTATCCATATTTGTGTGTCTGTCTTTGTCCTCTTGTGTCATGCAGGCGGTATGTAGGTGTTATGGAGGTAGTATGTAGGCGGTATGTATGAGCTATGCAGGTGCCCTGTGGTATGTGGGTGACAGATCCACACAGAGGCTAAATTCCGCCATTTTTATGTGGGGACGTAATAATAATAGTCACTTAGCAGCAGACACTTTTAGCCCAAGCAGTTATATACACATAGTCCTGACTCATACATAACTGGCTGAGCCATTTGAGCCACAGGTTGGTGGAAACGGCTGCAGAGTCATAAAGGACCGTTGTTCTAGAGAGGTCAAGGTGGTGGAGCATGTGGTGTGACCCCCTTAGCCATTCCTGGCAGTGTTTGTGTGTGTGTGGGTATGTAAGAGCGTGTGTTGAGCCGGGTTCATGACCTCACTGCTGGGAATAGCCAGCCTGACCTCTCTCTTCCAGCTCTCAACATGTGCTTTAACTTATCAGAGGAATGCACAGCAGGTACTTCAACTGCCCAGTGAACACACACACACACACACAGCAGGTACTTCTGTGGCCCCTTGAACTCAGACAAGGTAACCACCTCAGTAAGGCTTAATAGCAGTTCCTGTGTTGACATTTTGAGAATGAATATCAAGACCGAAGGTCCAACAGTCAGACGTATAGTAAACCGACAATTCAGGAAATCTATTGGAAAAGTGATCATGCTATGGAAAAATAGGAAAATCATGGGGTGAAATCTAGACACACACACACAGTGGCTGGAGCCCAGAGCAGAGACAGATTAGCAGGCTGTTATCACTGAGTCTCTTAGCAACCCCTCCCTCCCTCTCTTCCCCACTCCAGCCCTCCCTCCCCTTGGGGCCTCAGTCTGTCTGACTGACATCTCCAGATACAGAGGTAGAGATAAATGACACACTACTGAACCAGCAGGATATAATTTCAAGCACTTTCAAAACACAGCAGACATGGGCTTACATGGACTTGCCTGCCTACCATAGGTCCATACGTCCATGTTTCATATCAGTGCCGCATGCGCAGGCCACTCACTGGCAGCACATGACCAGATGAGCACGTTGGGAGTGAGAGGCAGTCAGCTCAGGCAGGCAGTGTGTAGTTTGGTATAAATGGCAACATCTCAGAGAACATCACCAAAAATACCAGGTTTACTTAGCGTCCCACAGGTGTGCTTGAACTCGGACCCTGCCCTAACCGACAGCCCTTCCTTCAACACGCCACAGAGATCAGGTTCCCAGTAAAACCAGTTGACAGAAATGTTACGGTACAGAAATGGTGTTAGTGAACTATTTTGATGTATATTAGTTAGGGATGCAAATTTTGTTCAATTTTGTTGCAGACTAACCGACCCTCATTAACCGGTCAACAAACGGTAAAAAAAATTCCAAACAGTAAAATGACTTGACCAAAATACTATGCATGCATACAACAAACTGACATTTTTCATTAAGAACTTAATGAAAACATGATAGCAAGCCTATTGTCTTACAGTCAAAAGGCTATAGCCTATTATTGAACATGCAACTGCTGTAAGAAGCAGGTAATAAAACGTCATTATCAAACATTTGCCAAAATGCAGTTCACAGGAAAACACTATTCTAAACAGCCCACCTAATGCGAGCAGTTCCATATGTGACAGAGATGAAAATCTCAGTTAGAAACATAGAAAGAGGGGGAATATAATAGCAACAACTATGATTGGTTGCTAATATGACTAGGATTGTGTGCCTTTGGTTTCTGGACAACAAAATAAAGTTTATGAAAACCAATAGAACAGTAGAGAAATGCTGGTTAATGGCATCAGGAAGTCTTTATAAAAGAAAGGCTATTTTAAAGTAAGGTTAGACCGTCCTCATTATTTGAAGTAAAGTAAAACATTTGGGTTTCAAACAATTATACTGCCTCAAGCTCACATTATAAAGTGGTGGGTGACTCGCTGATTGCC